TTGCCTCATCAGCCTAAAAATCATTAAAAATTTTAAACTTAAATGATTTTCCTAATTTCTATTGAGTCAACACGCCATATCAAACTATTTTAAATTTTATTTTTTGATTAATTTGAAAATGGAAAATAATAGAAATTAGAAAATAATTTGAATTTGAATTTTTTAATGATTTTTAAGGTGACAAAGCAATGACATGGTGTGTTGATTAACGATCAACGGTGTTGACTGTCCAAATTAACGGTCAAACCATGTATTGGGCCAATTGAGTCTATATGCTGAATAGTTGAGGCCAAGATGTTAATTTTTGAAACCACGGGTCAAAGTTGATTATATGGTCATAGTTCGGTCCAAAATCAGGTATTAACCCTAATTTTAATTATTAACAAACGTAGAATAAAAAACCTAAATGAAATCCCCAACCCCCGGCAGCCGTCGCCCACCTCTTTGTCTCGTGCTTCGACCAATCCATCCCCGAGCAACCATTATGCATATCTTCCCCATCCCAGCTAGTAAATCACCCATCACACCCCAACCCGACTCTCGCCGCCCAACTCATTGCATATATTATTATTTGTCGCCCAACCCGACACCCGTCTTAATCCGGCGACACCCATCTTGGGAGAAAGAAGGAATCCGGCCTCCCATCTGAACTCGACCTCCGCTGTCCACCTCTGCTTCACCAACTCCCGGCCCGCCGCTTTCTTCTTCAATCCTGCAACAACTTGGCGGAGATGGTGGATTTCCTATTTACGACGATGTGACAACCCATGCCAGCTGTCAAGTGTATACATAGCTAAAGTCCACCTGTTAGACCATCCACAATATGGGTGGGGGGAAATGTGGAAAAAGAGGGAAAAGTGGGAAAATTGGTTGGTTTGATCACAGTGTGGTGGTGGGAAAAGTGGGTAATCAGTTTAGTACTTTTTTGTTAAAATCAATCTATAGTTGATTTTGTCACTTTATTTTCATATAATGATCATTATTATTACGTACTTAGTGATAATTAATTAATACGAACATTTCGATATAATTTTTTTTTAATTTGGAAATATTTTTTTATCACTAATTAAGTATGACATCAACAATGACAAAATCACAATAATACGAGATGACCATGACTCATGACATATTTCATAGAATGAGTGGTGTCATCAATTATTTTGTCAACTTTAACCATATTGAGTGGTAACATCAACTGTTCATGTCGCTTTAATCAGAATGACATGTGTCATCATCTATTCATGCTGCTTTAATCATATTGAGTTGTGAAATCAACTGTTCATCCAGTTTGTCAATATTTGTTGGAGGATCTTTTCGTGTTTCTATAAATGAAGGCCAAACTTTGTCCATCTATACATCCCAACATTCAACTTCTTCATTTTTCCTACTTCGTATTTCTCTTTACAAACCGAAACCATTTGCAGAATGTAGCTCTTGGATTCTCGTCCAAAAAGCCGGTGAAGATTGATAATGCCCGATTATAGGATCTTGCGAAACCTCCATCCAAGCCTTGCATAAACCAAGGTCTTCGGGTGTTATGTAATTCGGATTGCGATTGCTACCGAAAGAAGCCATGATTACAAAGAGTTTGGGAAGAAGAGAATTTTTTATTTGGATGGTAGGAAGAGAATGTGAGAAGTGTTGACAGAAAGTGAAGAATGAGTTATATTTATAGAGCATGAAAAAATATAGCCGTTGGAAAAATGGCCGTTAAAAAATATGGCCGTTAAAAAGTGATCGTTGCAAAATATGGCTGTTGGTTGAATCTGTTCGTTGGGGACAAAAACACAACTTTCCAAACAAGCTTTTGCTAAAATCAGGAAAAAAAATAAAAATAAAAAGAAAGGGCTGTCATTTCCCATCCGCCACTTCCCCCCACCATTTGTCTCATCTTGTGGGTTTTCCCACCCACAAAACCCATTTAATTCCCTATTCTCCCCCACATTGTGGTCACATTTCCCCTTTTTCCCACAAAACCAACCCACGCTGTGGGTGGTCTTAGGACTGTCTTTTGACCGATTGAGACTCTATTAGCTACTTTCCCTTTCTTTTGCTTTAGTTGTAGCTTTGTAGAACTTCTCTGTACATTCATATCTCTTTCCCTTCTCTGTTCTTCCTCCATTCATCCATACTTTTTCCATATTTCCAATAACGATCATTACAAGTGGTATCAGATGCCTACAATCTGGCAATGACGAGCCACATCACACAAATCATGTTTTGGAAAATCACATGGCAGCCCTCAATTAGAAGATGGACTCACGGCACCGGGATCTGAAGGCCACCATTGTTACTCTTTCGGCTTCGACGAAGGCCAACATCGACGCTCTTACTGCTTCGTTGGAGCGATGGCGGGACAATTCTCCGGTCCGTTCTTCATGGCACGCGAATCACAATCAGTTTTCTGATCCCCAACAGTTCAGTCCGCCACCGCGTCGGCCGTCGATTTTGGATCCTCATGTGTGAGTTCCTTCTTCCACCTTCTCTAGGAAATTTGACTCGATCACGTACCCTTAGGTTCCTTCTCCAACCTTCGATTGGTTTTCTCCCCTGTCTACACCAAGACTGAACACCCTAACTCCTTCTGCTGCTTCTTCTCAGGGAATTCAAGCCCCAATTTTCTCTTCTCAAGAACCACCATCGATTGCCTTGCCATCTTTCCCACCATCTTCTGCTTCGCTCCCTTCTGATTCATCCGTTGCCAACTGCTCAAATGCGTCTGTCGTTTCCCAAAGCTCTTCTTTTGCTACTAATGTTGGTTCGTCAACCTCCAAACCTTCACGGCCGTCTCATTCTTCTATTTCATTCGATTCCCTATCTTCAATTTCTTCTCCTCATAGTAGTGCACCCGACAAGTATATCAAGATTGAAACTCCCAAACCTTTACCTACTTCCATGCTTTCGGTTTTTTTTTCCTGCCTTCTCCACCCCATAAGACTTCTACTCCTAAAATCCATTCTTTCCCCAACTTGGACATTCACACTTCATTCACTAGGGATTCTTATGCCATATGTGCACGAAAGATTGAATTGTCATTTTTGCTCGTGGTTAGGAGCACCGCTGGCAACAGTTGTGATGATTTTGCTATTGGAGTTTTCTTTCCTGCAATGTTTGGTGCTGAATTTTGGTACTGCCACACCCAATTAAGGGACTCAAAATGGGATTATGGGGTTCAACTCTGTCATGGTTTTGTGAGAATTGTGTGGTTCCTACCGGGAGGGGAAACCGTCATTGCTTCAAGGAGCCATATAAGGACTATTGTTGGGGTACTCAGGGTCATGCACAGGCAACTTACTTTCGGTTGCAGGAACTTGACTGTCCATTCTATTGGCTGGATATTACTTCTCATGGGAGAAGCAATAGTTGTTGTATCAAGGAACCATACGCGGGTTATCTCTGGGCTTGTATTGTGTCCTGCAGAAAGATAATTTGGTATGGGTTTGAGGAGCTTTATACGCTAATTGATGTTAGTGCTTTCATGGTGCTTCAGCCTAATGTGTTCATTTGGTTCTTACAATTCTATGTGTGCTGCAATGAGCCGAGCAGTGAGTTTGGAAGTGATTTCCTTTGTGTTTGGGGTGCTCTAGATGCAGTTTGGCATGAGGCCAGTCAGCTAGAAGTTCTGCACATCATAGCACCAAGTAGTTCAGAATATCTTTTTAACAAGTTCAAGGTGTTTGGCCATAGGGGTTTTCTGTGTTGGTCAGTGAGGTGCACAATATCTCATTTTATTTTGTCGATTAGAAGAATGGAGAGAATTTTTGTGCTTTCACGAGTCAATTTTGGAATTCACACCACACTCAGGCTACAGCATTGTTATCAGTACCAGATCTTGCACACTTAGCTGCAAATAGGATTGAGATGTTCTGTAAAACTCTTCCACTACCTGAAGACTGGAACCACATGAGAGTATGCATTCACAGAGCTGTTCTGGCTTGCCAGCATTCTGCTATTTTCGTATCTTGCTGGTATGATTTGCTATGGCTGGTTTATACAGGCTGATGTCCAACTCCCGGAACCAAGGCTGCTATTCGGTGCCTCCTGCTACCTTGCAACTGCCTGAATCAGATGCCAATGGTTCCTTGAAGTTGGCAGCCTGACACCACAACAGATTCTGGCTAGGCGATTTGTGAACAAGGGAAACCAGCTGTGATGCAAGTTCTTGTGCAGTGGCCACATCAGTCACCAGAGGAAGCTACTTGAGAAGACTTGCTCTCCTTCAAGGCGCAACATCCTACTTTTCCATCGTGAACACAACTTGAGGACAAGCTGCCTCCGAAGACAGAGGGTTTGAAACAACCCATGACAGCTATTAAGTGTATAAATAGCTAAAGTCCACTTGTTAGGACTATCTTTTGACCAATTGAGACTCTATTAGCTACTTTCCCTTTCTTCCGCTTTAGCTGTAGCTCACTAGACTTCTATGCACATTCCTATCTCTTTCCCTTCTCTGTTCTTCCTCCATTCATCCATTCTTTCGCCAGATTTCCAATAACGATCTTACAGGCGATTTTACCCCTAGTCAAATAGTAACTCTAAAAAACATACCTCCATATTTAAATAAAATTCAACATTTCAAACAAAATAAAAAATACTCATATTTAAATACAAAACAGTAACATCCAAATGTTTATATTTGAATCCAAAAAATAACGTAAACATCTACATATTTATACTTGAATTTAACAAATAATAAACATTTAACTTTCAAGTTCGAAAAACAAATAAAAAATTATTATTACTAATTAAAATCATCAAAACAAATCATTTTGCGTAGATATTGAGAATCAATCCTATTAGTCAAAATGAGAACATTCCAACCGATTTTGTAACCAACATCGGTTGAACCCGAATGTATGCCAACATTTCACCGATTTCACAACCATAGTTTAACACTCTATGGAGCAACCCCACCGGGCACCACATAATGAAATACACTTGAGAATATTAAGAAAAAAAACACTCAATGGTATATATCTGTAAAACACGTCTGGACATATAATATCCCTTTTCTAACCTTCGGAATATAATTTTGACACAAATAATTACAGTTAGCGTATTGATGTCGAGGTCTATGAACTAGTAGGTATGATGGGAAATTTTGCCTGAAAGATGAGAAAGAAAAAGGCAGCAAGCAAGCAAGTGACGGAGGAACACGGAAAATAGCTTCTCTGGTAGCAGAGAGCTCCGGCTTCCACCATCATTCTCATCAAGCATTCAATTTGCCCCTTTCTCTTTTCTCTATCCCCGTCTCCGTAAACTGCTTCCATTACTGCACAAAAAACAGCTAAACTAAAACCTAACGGTCCTTCAAGAAGGGCATTTGAGATCGGACTTTTCCCCTTCCCAATCACACAATCATCCCGCCGCTTCCTGCGCTTCCAATTTCCGAATTCTTCCCTTGTTTGGACGATTCGCCCATTGAGATCGGACTTTATAGTCAGTCTTTGATCCTGCCGGTGAAATTCAAAGCGATAGAGAGAGAGGGAGGGATATAGGAGGAATGCGAAATGAGCTCACAACAACAGCAGCAGCAGCAGCAGCAGCGGCAGGCGATAGTGAAGGACCTGGTGGAGGAGGCCAAGAAGAGAATTGTGATTCTGGCAATTTGCGTCGTCGGTTTATCCTACCTCATGTCTCGTAAGTTCTAGCTCCAATTGGTTTCGGCAATGGTGGATTTTGATTGTTGAATTGTGTTTCCGTTGTAGCTCTGCGGATAAGTGGAGGTTTCTAGGCGTAGAATGTATGGTGGCATTCTTTCCAATTCACTCCTCTCTGCGTGCTTGATTAGGTGAACTGTAAAAGAGGCTTGTTTGGGTTAGAACATAGTTAGGATGGGATAGAGTAACTGTTGTCAGTTAGCCTGGTGTATGCTGGACACAAGACATTTGCTTGTTTTTGAAGTGTTTCTGCACCTTGGAGCATTGCCACTCTTCTATAAAGATACCGTTCTGTCTAATTCTGAGCAATGGGTTCTGAAAGCAGTTCCCTAACCATTTACGAATGATCTCTACTTAGGTGTATCGATGGTAAGAATTGAGTCATAGCAATTTTTGTCACTCGCAGGCCCTTTCTATTAGATTATATCGATTGGTCCCTATATTTGCATGTCACCCCCCTGTTTTTTAAGAAGTTGTTGTGTCGTCTTCAATTTGCAAGCTAGCTTACCAGTTGAGACAAAATCTGATTGATCAATGTTGTATCTCTTAATTTCTTTGTCTGTCAGTCAGTAGAAATGACATGCTCAATCTTTCACTGGGCCTTTAAATGGCAATGGTTTACTAACTTCTTGGCATGCATAAGTCTTGAGACGTCTAGAAAAAAGCATTCTAGCATAATATTGGGACATCAGAAGTTTTATGTTGAAGTTTTCCCATTTTTACTTTGAAGTGTATCGCTCAAGTCACGAGGTAATCTGATGTAATAATGTTTTTGGAGCTTCATGTGGTAAAATATTTCTCCATAATCTGGTTCATATTATAGAATTAGTATTGGAAAGAAGTAATAATTGTGAGCCTGATGAAACCATCAAAGTAGTGAACTCAGATACCTTTTCCTACAAGAATGTACATTGTTTGTATATTAATTTGAGCAGTTTAGAACTCTCCAAACAATTAGAGCCCCGGGAAATGATCGAGTTCTTACTTAGTTTGTCAAGCAAAATTGAGACATTGTCTCTGTTTATAATATGGTCTTATGAAGTTCATTCTGTTGGTAGTCATGTTAATAGGTTTGAGCTTGAGGCTTCGCCATTATGGATCAATGTTGTGCATGCTGGACTTTGTTTCATTGCTTCTAGTTCCAACAGTTTTTTTTTTCTTTCTCAGTGACAAGCTCCTCAGTATGGGTCAACTTACCAGCTGCCACCTTCCTAATAATCATTCTTCGTTATTTTGTGCTGGATCTTGAAATGAGGAGAAAAAGTGCAACATATGTGAGCAAATCCTTGCAATCAAATACATCACCTCAGGATAGACCACATGGATCTTCAAGGATTGTTCAGAAGTCTCAATGGAGGAAGAAAGTAAACTCTCCTGTTGTTGAGGATGCAATAAATAATTTTATGAGACATATTGTGTCTGAGTGGGTAACAGATCTTTGGTATGGTCGCTTAACACCTGATCAAGAGGGGCCAGAGGAACTGGTTGTCATAATGAATGGAGTCCTTGGGGAACTCTCTGCCCGTTTGAGAGATATAAATCTTCTCGATCTTCTAACAAGGTTGCTGTTCTTTACATGACGACGTTACTTGTCTGGGTTTTTTAATTATTCTAAATTCTTTTCTTACGAACTAATATTTAGGATGACACAGGGATCTCATTAATCTCATCTGCACCCACTTGGTGCTTTTTCGAGCCAGTCAAGCAAAGATTGCACAGAAACAGCCCAATTTTCTGTCCATTGAACAACGAGACAGAGAACTAAAACAAGTGCTCGCTGCTGAGAACAAACTGCATCCTGCTTTATTTTCTCCCGAGGCTGAGCACAAGGTTGACTTTTCATATCATAGATAGAAAGTGCATGAATAGTTCTAGGCACTGATGAAAACAATGCTCCTCAAGTTGGGCTGTTCTTCAGCTGGTGACCAAGGCTTCTGCTATTTATTTTCAGGTCCTGCAGCATCTGATGGAAGGATTAATTTCTTTTACATTTAGGCCAGACGATCTTAAATGCTCATTTTTCCGATATCTTGCGAGGGAGTTGCTTGCTTGTGCAGTGATGCGACCAGTTTTGAACTTGGCTACTCCAAGGTAATTATTCACCCTGGTTTTTGCTTCATGCCCCTCAAATACAACAGATTTTCAGTTTCAGTTACCCTTTTTTCCCCTGTAAATTGCTTGACAGGTTCATCAATGAAAGGATTGAAATTTTTGTAGCTTCCAAGGCTAATAGAGGGGTTGCCTTGGCAGAAGAGGCATCCCTGTCTAAACCAAATGAGACCAACGATCACTCTCCTAGATTCTTAGATCCTACTGGTACTGGTGTTGAGCTTGTGCCATTGAAAACTGATAACTCCAGAAGTCGAGATGGTACACCTGAAACAGATAATGGAAATTCAATCCATATCTCGAAAGATCCATTACTTTCTATCGATACTAGGTCTACACGTTCATGGAGCTCTTTGCCCTTGCACCCTCAAGTTAACAGTCAGGGAGACAGTCAGCTAAATCATTCAGGAGGACAATGGAGTGACATGCTAGATGTTGTTTCCCAGAGAAAAACAAAAGCTCTTGCTCCAGAAAATATTGAGAACATGTGGACGAAAGGGAGAAATTACAATAAAAATGGAGGCGGAAATGGGGTAATTGAACAAATACCACAGAAGTCATCTTCTACTAAGTCAGTTGTGGTTGATGATCCAAGAAACCAGTCAAAACTCCAGGAGAAAGATGGTTTGACCAAGCTTGATTCTCCTCTTTCTTCCAACGTTGTAAATTCTGTAGGTTTTAGGCAGTCGAGAGTTGATAAACCTATCAACCTTGGAAGTAAGAACAGGTCAAATTATTCAATGCATGCTTCATATTTAGAAGATGCTGCGCAAAGAATGATGAGTGAAGATGAAGTTGTATCAGATTCTGGCAGTGGTAGTACACATATATCTGAAGAAGAAGAAGAAGAAGAAGAAGATGCAACCGATGTCACGGGCCTTCATTCACCTGGGACTAAAGTTTGGGATGGTAAAAGTAACAGAAATATGCCTGTTTCACACATTCATCATCCTCTTGAAAATCCACTGGGTCATGGTGTAAAGAAACCTAGCAAAGATAAAACTCGGCACAAAAAACTATCTGGACTGCATACTGTCAGAAAAAGGTCGAGATCAAGTGCTCAGGGTCAACATGTTTGGCAAGAAGTTGAGAGAACGAGTTTCTTGTCTGGAGATGGCCAGGATGTACTCGGTGCAAAAGGATGCACAAGAGCTGACGATTCTACAGATGATTCTGAGGTTGAAAATTGGAGCAGGCTTTCTACTGGAACAGTGGGTTGTTCATCCACACCCTCCCTTCTTCACCCCGAAATTCATACCCCTTCTGCAAGTGCAATGAGAGCAATGATGTTAGACTCTTTCTTTAAGTTGAGATGCGAGGTATTTGCATTACATTCATGGTGTGTGTTTTATTCAGTTGCTTAGCTAATTTTGTAAATGCTGACATATGCAAAGTAAGCCAAATTGTTTCTATAGGTATTGGGTGCAAATATTGTGAAGAGTGACTCCAAGACTTTTGCTGTATATTCCATATCAGTTACGGATGTTAATGGTAACAGTTGGTCAATCAAGAGAAGGTGTTACTGCAATTCTTTGTCAAACTGTCTTCTTTTTATAGTTATTCTCTAAAGTATATTCTTTTTTCTTCCATGGTCTCCTTATTTATTTTGGCTCTCTTGGACAGGTTTCGTCATTTTGAGGAGCTGCATCGACGTCTTAAAGAGTATCCAGAGTATAGCCTTCATTTGCCACCAAAGCATTTTCTCTCAACAGGTTTAGATATGCCTGTCATTCAAGAACGCTGTACTTTACTTGACAAATATCTCAAGGTTGGATATGATTTTCTTTAGGTCCCTTACCAACTTTGGTGGTTTAGTATTATTTGTCTGAATATTGATACATACCTGCGGAGATAGATACAAAAGCACATAGCTCAATAAGCAACTTAATTTGTAATTTATTCTTTAATATCAACATGTAACGAAATTTGACATCCTGTTATTTGCAGAGGCTGCTTCAAACTCCCAAAATATCAGGATCTATTGAAATCTGGGACTTCCTTAGCGTTGATTCTCAGGTGTCATATTTGTACTTTGAATCTTTCTTTAACTCTCCCCTCGGTTCCGATTTTAGCTACTCCACATGTTACTGGACTAACTTGGTGTTGATTTCGTAATGCAGACATACAGTTTCTCAAGTTCCTTCTCTATCGTTGAAACATTATCAGGTAACAAAGATGTTCTTGATTTGATCTTCTGTTGGTGTTTACTTTTTTTTCTCTTTGGGGCTCATTTTCTTGACTTCTCTTGATTGGAACTTTCTAGTTCACCTTGGGGATAAGGTAAATTTCTCTGGATCTGCTATAGACCCCTTCAAGCGAAAGGACCTGTTGAAGACGGAGAAGCCAGTTGGTGTTGCACCACTCAGAGTCAAGGAGAGTGTGAACAATGCGCCAAGTTATATGCAGAACAGGCTTGGTAAAGATTTCCCAAAACCTCTTGAAGATTCAGGCAGTGATTCAGATGTCCAAAGCAATGTTTCACGCATCATAAATTTAGGCAATACTGCAGAAAGGAGTGAAAGCAATGGCTTACCGGAAACAGCAAAGTCGCTTCATGTCGATTCTAGTATTCCTCCTGAGGTAGTAACAAGTGACTGGCCCACTTTCTGTTTAGGTTTTACTGAAACTGTAAATTAAGAAGAAAGGTAATGCTCACATTTTCTCTTTCTTCACTACAGTGGGTGCCACCAAACCTAGCACTCCCTCTATTAGATTTGGTTGGTGTCATCTTCCAGATGCAAGAAAGTGGATGGATCAGGTACTAGTTATTAGACTTCTTCAATCATGAATGCCTTATTTTCTCACCAGTCACAGTCCCTGGGTAGCATGGAGTGACGTGATACATCCCATCGTGATTGTCCCGAGCTGTGTTCAAATCAATGGTACAGGAGGAAAGCATTTTGGATGGCTAAACAGGTGTTACAACTGGGAATGGGGGATGCTTTGGATGATTGGTTGATAGATAAAATCCAACTCCTCCGTAGAGGTTCTGTCATTGCTTCAGGGATCAAGAGGGTTGAACAGGTTACTCTCACTTTTTTTCTTCTATAGACTTCCATCTAAATGCTTCTGATTTTGGTGCATCATCCTCCCCGCACAACTTAACCTCACACATAGATATCTGATGCCTTCATTTTCTGATTTGAGCAGATACTCTGGCCTGATGGGATATTCATAACCAAACACCCAAGTCGACGACCGCCATCTACTGTGGATACATCTTCACCGAAACCAACTCCAACTTATAGCCGACAGCCCTCAGTTCTGGCTACACCCCAATTGAGCGAGGATCAGCAAAGGGAAGCAGAAAGACGTGCTAAGTTTGTATATGACCTAATGATCGGTAATAAAATGGCTTCTTTGATGTCTCTGTATGTTTAAATAGCCAAGCATTTCCATATATTGGATGCATGTGAACAGCAGCAATGCACTAACTGACAATCTGTTCTGCTGTGCAGAGAATGCACCAACTGCAGTCATAGGTCTCGTCGGTCGAAAGGAGTATGAGCAGTGCGTCAAAGATGTATACTTCTTTATTCAGGTAGTTCCCTATTCTCGTGCCCATACCTTGATACCCATGTCTCTTGCTTGGCATAAGATAATAGCTAACTAAGATGACGATATGCAGCTCCTGACTTGGTGTTTTGTTTCGAATGCAGTCACCAGTTTGTTTGAAGCAACTAGCTTATGATCTCATTGAGCTGGTGCTCCTATCTGCATTTCCGGAGATGGATTATAATTTGAGGCAGTTGCATGAAGAAAAGAGCAAATTTGGGGAACTTAAAGCAGAGTGAGTCCCATTCAGTTTGGAGAACAGCTCTTTATGTGATGGATGCTTTCATGTCTCCTGAAGCGAACTAGGCTTCTACCGTGTGGCTGCTTTCCGTGCTTGATCCGTAGTGCTCACTATTGAGTTTTTGCCAGTTGGGAGTGTCATCTCTTTTTACCTTTTGCGTATACGGGATGCACAATTGTTATGAATTTTGTGTACATTTGTGAGATGAAAAGAGTGGCAATATAGTGTAAAGTTTAATAGCGATGATACCCACATCCCATTTCATTCTTCACATTCTCAGGATGCCGATTGAAATATAATTGGTTAACACCACTGGTCAGTGGAGAGTTACAAAATACAAATTATAGTCAGCAGCAAACAAGAACACTTCGTCTTGAGAGTTAAGAAGCTACTTATTGCTAAGATGTCTTTTTTGCAACTAAATGCCTGGATCACTTTCATCAGACTAAGAAGGGCTACCAATCAAATTCATTCATCTCTTTGCAATCGAGAAACTCCATCATTCTCCTCTACCTAATGATATTACCATACCAACAACCAAAGGCGACATACTTAATACATTTTTTTGCTCACCAATTAAGCAAAACAACGAGCAAATGACAGCAACTACAAAGATAACATGAATCATAATCTACCAAGCAGAGGAAAGACGACAATAGTGATGAAAACATTTCCCAGAACTTGCACCATCAAAACCACATTAGCCAAAATTCAGATACTCAATAGGAACCTTTAACAAAATACATTGTCCCAGAAATCTCCCACAGAAACTACAATCTTCGAAAGACTAAAGTTTCCCTCTAAACAGACCATCAAAAAGTGAATAACATAAAACAATGTTCTGGTAAAACTTTTAACCAACACAATGACTAGAGGCTCTGCTAAGCATTGTGCACCCCGAAAGGACTTCTCATCTTAAGAGGAAGCTGCAACTCCCTTTGTCCTTGGTGCAGCTTGAGTACCTGATCAAACAAGAACCATCTCAATTACAATAATGTATATTGCACTTTTACTTAAAGAACAGAAGGAATGTGTTAAACTTAATTTACCCTCTCTGAAGCCGCTCTTGAACCTGCGGGGAAGATGACGGAGGTACCTCATCCTTCCAGTTCCAGTGGTCTTTCGGCGGATAGCCTTCTCACTCCAGTTATCTGAAAAGCATAATAATTAACAAGTCAATCACAAAAAAAGACATTCAAAGCAAAGACAACAAGACATAACATGCAACAAAATCAACATAGTGAGCATGTTGTACTGTCTGCATTCCTTCACTTAGAACACTACGAAAAACAAATGCATCACCCCTACAGTAAACTTTGCCCCGTAAGGCGAGACCAAACAACATCTTAAAAAAGCACTTCACAACAACTTGAACCTAAGGTATAACGAATCGAAAAGAACGTCGCACATACCCTCAATTATCAGGAATATGAGAGATCATCTATGAGGAAAAGCCTCAACCTGAAGTCATCCTGAATCCTGAACTGAGCAAAGAGCTCAATCAAGAACCCCAAGGCAACTCAGGAGTCTATTTCACTCTACCCAATGAAATCACAGAGCAGACCACACAACACATAGATCAACAAAAATTGCCACCCAATTTCTACCCTCGGATTCAAAGGTCCCCAAAATGAACAGCAATCGGAAATCAAATAAACTAACCAAAGAAAAAGAGAGATAAAAAGGGCAAAACAGGACATACATTTCCTCAAGCGGGCAGCTGGGTAAGCACAGGCGGAGCAGCGACTCTTCTGGAGATGGAAGCTGCGGCGGCCGCACCTCACACATAGCGTGTGGGTCTTGTTCCTCCTCTTACCGAAACTCCCTGTACCCTTACCCTGAAAACACCAAACGAGAGAAGATCAGAACCTCGACGGAAGAACAAACAGAGAAGATAGACAGACAGCCGAAAGGGAGCCGACGGCCAGGAGAGCTTCTTACCATCGGAGCAGACGCAGCAGAGAAACCCTAACGCTAATGGAGGGAGGATGCGCGGATTCTAATAAGCTTAGAGAAACAACAGAGTGACGCTGGAGAGAGATTTATATACTAGGGTTTTCAGGGTTATGTGAATTATAAAAGTAACCAGACCTCGCAGCCGAGTGCGTGGGCTTTACGGGCTCGTATTGGTTGGGCCTCCGCATTGGTTATTACTTGCAAGAATGGACCTGTCAACATGGGCCGAATGTTGAGTTTGGAAGGAGCTCCGGGCCTGGTGCGGCACTGACTTTTCGTTTTGGGTTTTCCGCGGGAAAATTCAGCCTCTTCCCCCGGGAAAATTATACTACACTGGTTGAGCTTGAGCACTGAGCAGCAGAAAACGGTGGCTGCTGCGTTAACCACTTCAGTCCAGTGAAAATCATTTCGAAAGAAGCCGCGATGGCGGAGAAGATGGAAGACGACGAGCTGGAGTTTCCGGGATTTCCTTACCAGCCATATTCGATTCAGATTGATTTCATGAAGGCACTCTATCGATCTTTAGACCGCGGCGGCGTTTCCATGCTTGAAAGCCCTACCGGTACTCTCTCTTTCTCCCCACAGCTAAAATATTCGCCGCCTCATACCCTCTCCGCTTTCTGCTCTGGACGGGATTGCTCCTTGTGTGAAAAGCTCCAATAGGGTTTATACGAATGAGTATTTCCTTCGGAATTTTGGGCAAATTCAATCCAATTGCAGACTACTGAATGCCGTGTATTGTTATATTAATTATGATTTTAGTCTCTCTCATTTTCTTTTCCCCGATTGAGTACCTTATTTTTTTGGTTGGATACTGATTTCTTAAAGTCAATTAGGGACTGGGAAGACTCTCAGCATTATATGTTCTGCTGTCCAATGGGTTTTGGATCGAAGGCAAAAGGAGAAGCTGAAAATAGAATCTGAGCTTCCAAATGGGAACAATGAGGATAAAGTTGGATCAGATGATGAACCTGAATGGATGAGAAGCTTTGTCCCGAGTAAAGATGCTGATCTTGTTAAGAAGAAAGCTAGTAAGAAGAAGTCCGGAATGGAGAAATATGATAAGAAGAGGGCTTATGGGATTTCCAAGGGAGCGGTTCTGAGTAATGTGGGGAAAGAAGAGAATGATGGGCTTGACTTGAACGAGAATGAATTTTTGTTGGAAGAGTATGAAAGTGAAGGTGAAGAAGGATCTGTTGGTGGGGGCGGGAAATCGAAGAGGAAGGGTAGTAGAGGTGATTGTTCATCGAGTGACGATGAAGATAGAAACGATGGATCTGACGAGGAGGAGGTGGAAGAGAAAGATTTTAAGATTTTCTTTTGTAGCAGGACTCATTCGCAGCTGTCACAGTTTATAGAGGAGTTGAGGAAGACTGTTTTTCCTGGGGAAATAAATGTGGTTTGTTTGGGCTCTAGGAAGAATCTCTGCATTAATGAAGGTAAGACTCACTACACTCTGAATGATCTGAGGGACGCTTCCTTTTTCATGCCTGAATTTGGTTTTTGATTGATGAATTTCAGATGTGTTGAAACATGGGAATTCTGGGTGCATCAATGAGCGGTGTTTGGAACTTCAAAAGAAGAAGAACAATAAGGTCTCTAAGGTCAAGGTATGGCAGAACTACACTTGATAGTAGTTCTAGGTACATGCATATGTTTGTACTAAGTCTCCTCATGTCCTCAGTCAATGCTATTATTCTAGCATCATCTGGTTTCAGAAAGATGTATGTAAAAGCTGCCTTTTATGGTTTTTCTTTTTCCATTTTGAGTAATCGAGATTCTTGTGAGCAGGTCTTAGGAGTGGAAGGAAAAATCCGTAGGAGCAAAGCTTCCTCCGGATGCCCAATGCTCAGAAAGCAGAGTCTTCAAAAGGAATTTAGGGAAGAGGTTTCTCAACAAGGAGCATTGGACATTGAAGATCTTGTTCAGCTTGGAAAAAGCTTGGGAACATGTCCATATTATGGATCCAGGAGTATGATTCCAGCAGCTGATCTTGTGGTTCTACCTTACCAGTCCTTGCTATCAAAATCATCTCGAGAATCACTAGGTCTAAATTTGAAGAGGAATATTGTTATTATAGATGAGGCTCATAATCTAGCAGATTCCCTTATCAATATGTATGATGCAAAAGTTACTTCTTTCCAGGTAGACTATTCTCTCTGATTTCTCCTTATTAAATGCAAACTAGCTAGAAAACTCAGTGTTTGTTTTATTGAGTCAGAACTAGTTTCGTTTTTCCTAACAGATTGAAGTGGCTTCTGAATTCAACGAGGAGATTAATTTACCTTTTTTGTGATTACTCAGTTGGAGCTTCTGTATTCTCATATTGAGAAGTACTTTACAAGATTTCAGAATCTCTTAGGACCTGGCAATCGAAGATATATCCAAACTCTGATGGTTCTTTCAAGAGCATTCTTGAGGTCTCTATGTGGTGACCTGGGGTCGGCTGATATAAATGGATGCCAAGTGGAAAAGGATGCTGTTGATTCAGATAACATCTTTCAAACTTCTGTAGCGATCAATGAATTTTTATTTTCTCTGAACATCGATAACATTAACTTGGTTAAGCTGCTACGGTATGTAAAAGAGAGCAACCTGATTCACAAGGTGAATCTGATTCTTGCTGTTTCTTTGAATGCATGACAAAATCTTCAGTCCCTTGTAGCCCATGTCTCAATGCAATGACTGAAGCTGCTACAGTTTGGTTCTTCAGGTAAGCAGCTATGGAGAGAAAATCACCAGCCTCCAGAAAGTTTCGCTTCTTAGTGAAAATGGAGAGTCTCTTGCTGAGGGAAGCATTCTTTCTAGTTTCAGGGCACTGGTTGACATATTGGCATCACTAACACATAAAGATGGTGATGGCCGGATAATAATCTCAAAAGCAAGATCAGCATGCCACAAACCACAAGGAGGTACCTTAAAATATGTTATGCTCACTGGGGAAAAGATTTTCTCAGAGGTTCGTTGAATATCCCCTAGCTTTAATTTCAACTATATCGTGTTCATCATGAAATTTGACTAGTTCAGTGACAGTACTTAAATTATTGAACCCTCTACTTCAATTGGGATGAGGAGTTCCAAGAGACCAAATCATATGGAACCTATGGAGTTAATGCAGAATCCTTCCTTTCTTTACGGCAGATTGTTGATCAAGCTCATGCTGTTCTACTGGCTGGAGGAACCCTGCAACCTATTGAAGAGACAAGGGAGAGACTCTTCCCGTGGCTACCACCCAATCAGCTGCATTTCTTTTCATGTGGTCATATTGTCCCTCCTCAAAGTATTTTGCCGATTTCAGTTTCTCATGGCCCTTCTGGACAGCCTTTCGATTTTAGCTACAGCACAAGAAGCTCATCAACCACGGTTAGCATACAGCTATCATGAAGTTGGTCCTATTACTTTTGTTTACCAGTTAAGGCCTAATTGCTGTGGATTGTGGCATTTACAGATAAATGAGCTGGGCTTGTTGCTATGCAATTTGGTCACAGTTGTTCCTGAAGGCATAGTTGTATTCTTCTCATCCTTCGATTATGAAGAACAAGTGCATGATGCATGGAAGGCATCGGGCATCCTTGAAAGGCTGATGAAGAAAAAATGCGTCTTCCGAGAACCAAGAAAGAATTGCGACGTGGAACTTGTCCTGAAAGAGTACAAGGAGACCATTTTCAGGGGAGTAAAACAAGATGTAGTAGTACCTTACAATGGGGCAATCCTTCTGGCCGTAGTTGGTGGTAAAGTATCTGAAGGCATTAACTTTAGTGATGGGATGGGCAGATGCATAGTCATGGTCGGATTACCTTATCCAAGTCCTTCCGACATAGAGCTGATGGAGAGAGTGAAGTATATTGAAAGCTTGGGAGATAAAAATTACACCAAGACTTCCAACTGGGATGATGAACATTATACTACTCGGAACGTGCAGGCCTCATTTAGCATATTGAGAAGCTGCAAGCGCAGAGGGAAAGACTATTATGAAAACCTCTGCATGAAAGCTGTGAACCAATCAATCGGTAAGTGGAAATTTTTACTACTTTCCTTATCCGTTAGCACGTTCTGATCCTCTTTCGCTCTGCCTCTCACCTCACCTCTCCGGTTCGTTTTGTGTTTTAGGTAGAGCGATACGGCATGTGAATGACTATGCAGCGATTCTGTTGGTTGATAGGCGTTATGGATCATCAGATGTCTCGAGAATAAGCGCTTCTCATCCAACTAACAAGCTTCCAACTTGGATAAAAGACAGTCTTGTTTCTACAACGAGTAACTATGGAGAAGTACACAGGCTGCTTCATCAGTTCTTCAAATTCAACAAGAAAAGAGGGCCGCAGTGAACTACTCGCGTCCAAATGTCAAATCACTACTCTTCAACGATCTGATCAATGCTGGTGTCCTGATGAAGTCGGAATCCAGCCTGGGGAGCTGGAAATGAGCCGTACTTCATCCTTGGCCAGGTTAGCTAGACATTACTTTTACCAAGTTACCCACTTAATTCTTATGTTCCTTCTGGATAGTTTATAGTGATTCTTATGCTCCTTCTGGACTACACCGATGTGTAAATCGTTGAAGTATAGAGGCAAAGTAATGAAATCAGTTTGTGTTTTCTTGTGGGGTCTGTCCAAGAATAAGATAGCTTATGATTAGAGGTGGAAGTTCAGAATGTTGGGGTCAGTTTATTTACCAGAGGGAGCTGTTTGCAGGGCAAAATTAAATGCTGAGCTTGTGACAGAGTCCTAACTTGGCAACTGGCAGAAAGTGACTTTACTCTATGCTCTTCCAGCAATCTAAATGCGCCTTTATCTCCTTCCGTATCTCTCTCTCTCTCTCTTAACATATGAATAAATGCTGTGGAGAGTCTTCACCTACGATTCCTGTGGGCATGGAGGGTTCTGAAATAAAGGGTAGTTGCCTTCCTTTCCTTCCTCGCCTGCTCTCTTCTAACACAAAATCATTCTGCTGTTGTTTGGCAGAGTAAGTGGCTAGCCACAGTTGTGCTTTGCTTGTGCATGGGTGTGAGGTTGCCCCTTGCACACGATATTGTACAGTTTGATTTGTCCTCGAAAGAGGGCCCTATATTATAAAAAAAAAAAAACATTAGCAGATGTGGCATGCAATTAGGACAGCTCTAGAGCTGGACTGCAAATCTGTAACTTCACAACATGCCCATTGGGAAGCTTGCTTTTTTTTTTCTTGCTTGAAATGAGTGATTTTAGTTCAGAATGTCATACATAATCGAGTCCAGTATGTTATGGTTTTATGGATGTTGTGGAATGATCGTGCAAGAAATATGACCCTATGAGTATGATAAACCTGTCAGTGACCAAATTATTATTCGTATTGGTACGAGAAATGGGTGTATCAATCGTATTAGATCATGTGTATTGATTGTATTAGATCATATATATTCATAATAATAAAATTGTGTTAAATTATTAATCATGTGAATGTTCGTTTAGACCCAGAATTGTATGCCATTTCTAACAATAATTTACAATTATATATGCAAATCATCATCTTTTGGAGGTTTTGTTTTCCATAATGTCGTACATAATCCAATGTACTATAAAGGTTTTTGTTGTTCGAAGGAAGGGGGAAAAAACATATGTATAACATAATTCCATGGTTTGTTAAATCTTATCGTAATGAGTCGATTGGAAAAATGTCTTTCAAAATCCAAGTTGATATTGAATTTTACCAATATGAAATGGTTGGATCATAATTTTAGTACAAAAATATCCAACTACTAACTTATTCGATACAACCTCCGATGCAATTTATCGATCCAGGCATAACTCTATCTAATAAAAAGCTGCCTTAAACCATCAATCACGAAACTACCATCTTTGCAAGCATGACGAATGCGAAACGCACTCGAATTTTGAAAACACCATTAAATGGGTAACATAACGAAGACAGCACAAGGTGTTTTGTTGATTATGTACCAAATTAATCGTTCCTTTTGCGACATCCGATAAAATTGTGTAACGTATTAATCGTATGGATGGCCCTCGGCATTAATCAGTTGTGAGAACATGCTTTGTAGATAGATGCTAAGCTTTGCTGGGTAGATTGACAGACAGACAGACAGGCTTAGAGAAGAAGGCAGAGAGAGTCGAAAGGGAAGGGCCAATTTCCGCAAGAATGAGAGGGTCCCTTACTCCCTCCCTCCCTCCCTCAAGTTTCAAAATTTGGGCAAAAGAAAGTTTCAAAATTTGGAGTGGAACTTTGATAAAAGTTTCAGCTGAATTCATTGGAGGGCGGCAGTTCTTGTTTAGAATTCATTACAACCCTTTTTTATATATGCATGCATTCGTCACCACCAACCCCCCACTCCCTTTAACTTTGCATCTTAATCAATGCAACGTCACTTTAGGCAACATTTAGTCAAAGTTTAATCAAAAAAAAATTATGACATTCATAATGATCTTATTAACAACGATAAATCTCGGAGAGCATGTTTCTGTTGTAATTAGGATGTAACAAAACATCGTAACTTATCTTATAAATCAATCTGAAGTTAAAAGCTTCAAAACTATCATACGTAAGTCAAAAGCTAAATCGTAGACCGGAGAATACCTAACATGCAAAACTAAAAATGTTAAGTACACGGTATAAACCAAATGTATACAACATAGTTTCTTTTTCAAAATATATAAGTAAGACAGAACATACAAATCAAAATATAGTAATGGATGCCAAGGAGTTAAAGTTATGATTTTTTTTTTTGAACATTATTAAAGTTATGATTTTGATTCCAAAAGCTTCACTCATCTCTCTTTCTAATCCTTTTATGTACTAAACCATGTTTTGCACCAGAAAGGGTTTGTGTGTACTAAATCTAAACCAGCAGCAACTTGTCTTTTTTTTGCTTTTGCTTTGTTAAGAGTTAAAGATAGGAAAGAAAAAGGCCAGAATTGGATTTGTATTTCTCATAACTACCAATTGCCAAAACCCCACCTTGACAAACTCAAAACAATGGGGAAAGACCACAACTTTATGCTTGGAAACCATCACCATCCTGCATCCCCTCCACAGATCCAACGGTGAATAGTATCTTCCCAAAGATAAAACAACAACATTCAAGAGTGGGGACAAATAAAAGCAAAGAAAAGAGGCAAACAGAAAGAGAAGTGCCCGGTGTCTATATGTTTTCTATACTCTATACAGAAAGGAGAGAGAGTGTGCTGCTTTTGCATTTGTCTCCACTCCATTTCTCTTTTATCATCAAGTATAATACAGCAGAAGCAAAGAAGAAGAAGAAGGAACATACAACCCCCAGTTGATCTCAATACAGCTTCTGGGTTTGTCTCCACAGAAGCCTTTGTAGAGACAGAGAGAGGGAAGGAACTCAAAAAAAAAACCCACCTTCTCAACTCTTTCACAAACAATCCCACCCAAATGCAGCTGAGAGAATCCATAGACAAGACCAAGACTTTCTTCCAAACCACTCTTTTAACCCTCAAGTCCCTCCTCTTTGGTGGGTACCAGAAGCTGCCCAAGCCTCCATTCAACAACCCTTTCTCATGTGGAACTGGGTTCAACCCGGATCACATAGCAGATCATGAGTACTACACCAACTTCTGCAACGAATTGGAGTGTGATCTTGAGAAAGTCATGAAGCTCAAAACCACCAACCACAAACCAATCATGGCTCCCAAGGAGACACCAGCAGCACCAAGTAGAGAAGCTCATCGTCAATCCACTACTTGCCATGTGAGCCCAATTAAGGCTGTCTCAACCAGTCCAGTGAAGAAACCGCAGAAGAAGCACAAGGATGAGAAGAGCACCAGCAAGCGAAGCAAGAAACTTGGTGGTGAAGAAGAAGAGCAATGTTCATCCAAGAAGCAGTTGAAGAAGAAGAAGATGAGCAATGAAGAGAGCTATGCCTTGGCAAGGAAGATGAAGGAACTCGAGATGATCGATGTGAGTGATGTTGAACATGTTTTGGATGTGGAAGAAGCGCTTCATTACTATTCAAGACTCAAGAGCCCTGTCTATCTCGACATCGTTGACAAGTTCTTCACTGATATGTACCAAGAATTCACCATCCCTCATCAGGCTTCTGTTGCTTCAGTCAACAGCTCAAGAAGAAGACTTGCTTCCTTTAGATTATAGATTGGATTTATTAGTCATGTTTATTACATATCAATTGGTTCCTTGCTTGTACTCTTAAATTTCTCCTCCTCTGTTCTTACCCTCTTGGTATTATACTGGTGTGTCAAATTGCTTTCTGGGTTTTTTATACTCTTTGCAAAGTTTCCTCCTTTGCCTGGATATCTCATGCTTGTTTTTTGAGACTGTTACATTGAAGATCGGTGGATCAGGGGCTTCATCCCGAATTCGCCTTTCTATACTTTCCGATTGTTCTGAAAAGATGAAAGATACAAGTAGTTCCCTTTCATGTATATGCAGAAAGTGGCCCTTACAGTTATGATTGATGTCAGGGGAAGTACATTTAGAGCAACAGAATGTATGCTAAGTAGCTAGCATCCTTGAGGGTTCATCTAGACCTTCAATACTATACCAGAGGATGAAGAAAGGATTTACAACATCACAAGTGTGATTATGAAAGATAGGGCCAACTGCTAACTGCATATTCTATTCCTTTCGTCAGAATTCTGTCAGTCAAGATACCATGAAACAGTTAAGTCGGACTTGCCCCATTGATCCAGCCAAGACGTGGAGATGGGAAAGCTTCATCATTACTTCAGCAAAGTGCTTACAAAACATACCATTATCTGAAGCATACGCTCCGACCCAAATTCCGGTTTCTTCACCAGCAGTTAGCTGCTGAATGCTGATCCACATAGAGGATTCCCCTTCCTTGCAAAAGCATGTGACGGTATAGAGTCCCAAATGTTACCCAGCGTCCCTCACAGCCCATATCCATTCCTTGAACCCCAACTTTAGATTGTAACAGACACATGGAGTAACCTGATGTTCTTGCCGACTTTAATGGTAACGAGAATGGCAAAGGACCAAGGAATAAAGGTGAATATGCAGCTGTAAGCCTGTAACTATGGTGAAGATATCAGAATTGCCGTGGATAGCTCTAAGCCATTGATAGAAGGTGCTGGTTGAGTAAATGGTGTTGGCCAGCTGCCAAAGGAAGGCGCCAGTGTCGTTGATGATGGCTTTGAGCTGAAAAGCGGAAATGAAAACGAAGATGCTACGAAGGGTGCTGAAGCTGGTCGTGTTGCTGCTGGTTCAGGGCCATGCACAGAAGGTGTTGGTGCTGGTGTTGTTGACGGTGGGTTTGAGTTACCAAAGGAAGGTGCTTAACGTTGGGGGATGAAAGGACGGTTCTTGTGGTTATGCCGAAGTATGCTGCTTTTCGTTACATCTAGATCATCAAGAGATGGATCAGGCTTGTTACTGCACTGAAGTTAATACAGACAGTTATTGAAGAATCTGCAATGGATCACCTTGATGCTGTGACCACCTGGATACACATGGGCTCTTTTATCAGCAAAACAGATCAAAACGGAAAGACATTGAAGTTACACAGTTATCATATGGTGATCATGTGCCTATTCATTGGCAGAAGGTACAAATGCAGGTGGAAAACTCAACTAGGTAAGTTTCTTTCAAATATAACGTGAGTTGGTCTCCACATTTCCCAATTAATAAGCAAACTAAACCTTCTGGAGGAAATTAAAATGTAAAGCAGAATATACAAGCTCAATCTACATAATGTGAAGAGCTGCTTGGTAGAGACTTTGGACCAACAACTTAGCATGCAGAAAATCATATATTTGTGTTGAGAAAACAATCCACAGATGCAAGCTCATAAAACAGAATCTCTTAGTGTCAGAAATAAAGCACAGGAGAAGGAATAAAGATTAATAGTTTCCCTTTCATGAAAAGCCCTAGATGGGAAGGCAGCAAGCGTCTCAGATATATCAACATGGGGCGAAGGAGGCTCGAATGTTGCAGTATCTTTGTAATCTCAGGTACTACCTCTCTGCAGTTGACGATAATAAGTTCAACACGAAAACCTACTCAATACAAGACAGAGTAGCTGAAACCAACTAAAAAAATGGCGACTTGAACACTAGCTTCTCTGGCTGCAAGAAGACAAGAACATCAGCACGAGAAACAACACCAGGGTATGCTTCTTCAATTTTTGAATTCATAGTGTCAATGACATCAAATCCCCTTGAACCCTTATTAGCTTGAGAGTCTTTCTCGGATGCCATTCCCCCCACAACAGCATCTAACAAGAGAGAGGCAGCACATCCTGGATAAATCAACAAACCCCATTATCAAATTGGGACTAGATCAAGACCAAAAACAGATGGATAGGAAGGAAGGAAGGAAGGAAGAAAGACTGTACTTTACTTGGATCAGAACGACAAGTAGATCTATGCTCTCGCCAAAATTGGTACCAGAAATAGAAACCCTAGAATCTTGCCATCAACAACGCCAGAAGTAGTAACAACGCTCAGACTTTCCTCATCTTCTTGGGGGAAATTAATGTTGTTCTCCTGAATATTCTCTGCAGGAAAAGAAGGAGAAGGGGAGTGTGGGAGATTGTTGAGATGGAGAAGGAGAAGACGGTGGCAGACGGAAGCGTCGGGAAGATGACGGTTGTTGATCACCAAAGAGATGAACACGCAGACGCAGAGGATCAAAGCAGAAACGCTCAGACTTTATCACGGATGACATGTGAGAGATTGAAATCTTCCGTTCGCTTCTCTTTCTTGTTCGACAAAGTTCTTCTTCTTGAGGCTCTGTGCTGTTCAGTGATGGATACTGTGCAAGACTATCGGAGCGTGGAAGACTGGAGGTGGCGGGAAACAAAATAGTCAGAGGACGTTGATTTGGGCTTCTGGGCCCGCTTCTCGTTGGTAAGTCGCAGTTTAGTCGAGATGGGCCTTCATTTGTTTGTTATTTTTCTCTTCCTAGACGCGCGGGCTGGTTGTTTATTTGCAATCGGATAAGATGCATTCATGCTAACACCTTTTGGTGTTACACATAGACATGTCCTAGAGCTTACTCTTAGGGCTGGGAAACGGTGCGGTTTGGTCCAGACCAGACCATATATACGATCTATGGTCCAGATTGAGAGGCTAAAGTATAGACCACAGACTATAAAGTCCGGTCCAGACCACGCTTGTGCAGTCTGGTTCGGTCTGATCTGGTCCAGATAGGCCACACTCAACGAAAAATGAACAATTTCTTTAGTCAACCACACAAAAAGTTGAACCAATAATCAAGAAAAATAATTTTTATTTGCTTTATTAATCCTAACATGCATAAATAAATTTGATACCCTAAATCCTAGTACATAACAAAGATATCAAGTAAAAGCATCCCAACTTGCACCATAACGTTATAAACATTAACATAATGTCATATGGAGACACGATTATCTCTACTCTCTGGTTAAGTGTGGTTCTGAATGAAGGAGTGACGAGATTCACAAAATTAAGGTTGAGAGTTGGGTGTCGTTGTGGGAGTTGTGATAGTGATCGAATGGGTTGTTAACACGTATTGACAAGTCAGTTGGGTCCATGGTTTGGTCCGGTAAACAGCGATCTAGACCAGACTAGACCAAAATATCAAAACATAAAATAATACAGACCATGGACCATACCAGACCATACTTAACGGTCTACGGTCCGGACCAAACTGTGTGGCACGGCTTGGACCACGGTTTTTCTAACGGTCTGGTCTATTTTCCCAGCCCTACTTACTCGTGTCATTCCTTTTCATTGTCAAGCCCACGGTTGGTTTTTGGGTGGAAGTAGTTCACATAATCGTCTACTTGATTAACCGGGAGATCGCACCTCTACTGGGGCAGAAATCTCCATTTCAGGCACTGTACTTACAGCTCCCCGATTACTCGACTTTTGGGTGTTTGACTGCCTGTGTTCCGTGTTGTTGTTGCGCAAGGAATGCCATAAACTAGCTCCGAAGATGACACGTGTCTTTGTTGGATATAGTGAGAAACATAAAGGGTATCTGTGCTATGACCATATTGATCGTCGCATGAGTATAGCTTGTCACGTCAAGTTTTTTGAGAAAGTTATATACTACCCATCGTCCCATGTTGATGTGAGTTCATTATAAGCTTTAGAGTTCTCACAACATTACCCATATTTGAACCTCATTCCTCGTCGCCCACAGCTTCCCCGGAGTGCACCAGTTCATCGAGTTCGAGTGAATCGACTAAGCCTTCCTCGCCTGGAAAATCCCAATCCAGTTCATCGAGGTCATCTTCTGGTTATGATAACACATACAACTCGGCATCCTCAATTTCAAGTTCTAGCTCCATGACCCCGAACCATGAAACTGAGCAGCCTCCCTCACCTGTATAGCATGCCATTCCTTTGCGTCGGTCAGCTCGGGCGAATTTGGGCCAACCTCCTCCGCGCATGAACGACTGTGTGAGCTTGAAATTGAGGATGCCGAGTTGTATGTGTTATTCCCATGCATTACTCCCAGGCGGCACGGGATCCTCAGTGGAATGTTGTCATGCGTGTGGAAATGGATGCTTTGCAGGAGAATCGTACGTGGGATATTGTACCACAAGAGGAAGGCATGCAGGTGATAGGCATTCGATGGGTATATAACATTAAAATGCATCCTGATGGGATGATTGAACATTTTAAAGCTCGGGTGGTAGCTCAAAGCTACAAGCAGGAGTACGGTATTGACTACGATGAGACTTTTGCTTCTGCCATAAAAATGCAAATAGTCCATTTTGTTTTTGCGATGGCAACAATAAAGGGATGGTCTCTCATCCAGCTCGATGTGAAGAACGCGTTCCTTCATAGAGATAGGAAGGAGACCATCTACATGGAGTGACCTCCTGTGTATGAAAAATTGATTCTACGATGGTTTGTAAATCAATTCGTTTGTTATATGGATTAAAGCAGGCACCTAGGGCGTGGTTCGAGAAGTTTCTTGGCACTATTCTTCAGGCTGGCTTTGCACAGAGTCAGAATTAGGGGTAAACAGCTGGTGGCTTTATGCGGATTTGGACTCACCCATTACATGGTAGATGAAGAAGAAAATGACCCACACCCACCCAACATGTACTTCTGGGTGGGTTGGGTTGGGTTCCACCGCACCCACCCATATCTTTGTGGGTCACCTATTTTAGAACCCACACCCACCCATATGAACCACCCACAACATAATGGGTGGGTCATTTGTGGGTGGTTTTTGGTGGATTAGTGGGTTCAACGACCCATTGTTCACCCCTAGTCAGAATGATTCGTCTCTATTCACGCACAGTACAGTTGATGGCATAGTCGTCTTATTAATCTATTTGGACTATATGATTATCACTAGTAGTGATCAAGATGGGATTCGTAAGGTTACAGAGGTTCTACGGAATGCATTTAACTTAAAGGAGTTGGGAGAGGTGTCTACTTTCTAGGTTTGGGGGATTAAGCGATCTCCACATGGTCTATTTGTTTCTCAATGGAAGTATATACTTGATCTATTAGACTCATCTCGGTATATAGATTGTGTTCCGTGTTTTACTCCCATGGAACATAATCTTAAGTTGAGTAGATAAGAGGGAGACATGTCAGAAGATCAGCCTGTTCATAGAAGCCTAGTTGGGAGTCAAATCTATTTGAATCATACTCGACCATACATCTCGTATGTTGTTCAAGTCGTGAGCCAGTTTGTGGGAGTTGCTACACATCTTCACTTGGTTGTGGAGCATAGAGTCCTTGGTATCTGAAGCAAACATAATATGTTGGGTTATTCTTTCATGCAAAAGGAGACCTTACTATAGAATTTTTTGCATATGCCGATTATGCAGGGTGTATCGATACTCGAAAGTCAACATCTGGGTGGTGTGTTCGAGTAGGACAGACTGTTGCATCGTGGCGGTGGCGAAAACAAGATCGAGTATCGAAGCCATCTATAGAAGCAGAGTATCGGTCTATGTCTGAGGTTAGTTCAGAGTTGGTCTGGTTACATCGATTGCTCAAGGAATTTGAATTTGATTGTCGAGCCACATTGCGCATATATGGGGATAACACGAGTGCTATACAGATCGTAGTAAATCCAGTTATGCATGACAGGACGAAACATATTGAGTTGCATGTTCATTACATCACGCAATTAGTGGCAGAAGGATTAATACAGCTTGGGTATTTATCTACTGAGGATTAGACGATGGATTTATTGACGATATTTGCTTCATTCATTTTGTATCGTGTCTTTTTGCTCCTTGAAGCTTTTTTAGAGTTGCTCGTGTAGTGGCAAAAAAGGCTCTTTCATTTGTAGTTCGGTTGCATGCTAACTACCACATGTCGTTGTTGCCGGTCTTGTAATGTGGTTCTTTTGCCTAAGCCTTCTTGGCATATCTTGGACAAAAAAAAAACGCTACTTCTTTCTAATTTTCAATGCAAATTCGAGTCAACTAATAAATCTCGATTTGACTAGACGAACCTTGACAAACTTGCTCCCGAAACCAAATGGTTAGTTCTGAACAACATCTACATTAATAATTACTATCATTTATTTGATAAATTTAATTATGATATTATAAAATAAATTTAAAAATCATAATAATTCATATTCTGTATCACCCTCCTCTCTCCTTCCTACCCTAGTTCCCTTACACCTCTAATTAAGTTGAAATAGTAAATTTGCACTCACATTTTAAATATCTCTATTTTTATAAATTAACCAGAATAGTCACATTTCCACCTCCCTATTATTACAAATTAACCAAACATATGTAAATTTGTTGAAAATTATATTTATCTTTCTCATTTGCAAACCACCTATTCCTCATCTAACCAAACAGAGTCTTAAAGAAAATATGGTTAATATCACTGGGACACCCGAACTATCAAGAAAGTGTAATTTATGTCTTGAACTATTCAATATTTCATTTATGTACTGAATTATTGTTCCGTTAGTGTTTACTGACATCTGACATGGAATATTTTATTTTTATTTTTATTTATCTTCAACTCACTTTAAAAAACCTCCTCCATCTCCTTCCCACAATTTCAGTCTCAGCCGCTTCCGCGGAGCTCGTAAGCCTCACAACTAGTTTGTGAGGGTCTCCGAGCCGACCAACCCAATTCCATCGTCGCCTCTGTTTTTCAGTTGGGAATCACTTCATGGGAAGACCCTTTTGAGGGATCGAGAGATCGAGCGTGAGCTATTCTTCACCGACTCTCAACCACCACCACGTTCCTCCCACTCCGCCATCATTCCAATCCGACCCGACAACCCAATCTCAACACGAATCTAAAGCTGCCGCTAGTGATGGCAATTGTGCAAGGCAGGGCGGATACCTCAATATCCATGCCCCGCCCCACTCTACTACGGGTCAGGAATACCCCCGTGGGTATGGGGCGGGGCAGGTCGAGCCACTCTGATATGTTATTTTATAAAAATACACGCAAAATTTTACTTTTAACGATAAAAAATACTTAATGAATGAAAAATAGTGATAATAGAATGGGTAACTGACTCTAACTAGTTGAAAGATCAAACCTAACTAGTTGGTAGATTCGAGGACAAGGACAAACGCTTATTTGCGGCTTCGCATAAGATTTCGTAGAGGAGAATAGAGGAATCATCATCAGAAATTTTTTATTATTTATTTTGTTTTAAATTTTCTGGGTTATTAGTATTTTTACTTACTTATTTTTTATTTTAAGTTTAAAATATGAGGTGGCATACACATAGCTGTCATATTTTTGCCACATCAACAAAAATCAATGTCAAGTTGATCATCATCTGGTCATACATTATCTATGACGGTCAACGAAATCATCAGGACATAAATGACAATTATCACAGGTTAAGACAATTTTAAAATATTGTCGAATACTTCTGAACACAAATAACATTTTATGGTTTGATGGTGGTATTAGCCCAAGAAAATATGATTGATATAGCCAAAAATTGGAGTCACTCAACCACCATGGGAAGAGAAGACAAGGGTTTGCTTTCGCCGCGGATATGCATTTTCGAGTCACCCAACCACCACCACCACCACTCCGACGAAGAAAAGGCGCAGTTAGACGAATAGTTAACACTCGGATCACACCACCACCACCACTAACCAACCCCACGCCACCGGGACTGGAACCCAAGAAGAAGCAATAAATCAGCAAAATCCCACCCTCATTACCTAGTAATAATTAATGTTAATGCGCACTGTCGTCACCACCCAGTCCACGTGCCGAACAGTGATTCGGTCAAGCCAAAAGCCATTTACGACAACGCTGTCCGTTTCCTGCCCAATTCCACAGCCCAGTGCGGTGGCCCCCGGCCGCCGTTGTCCTTTTCCCGCCATCCTGACACCCCTCCGCACTCCCTTCCCTCGCTCACGACGCAGAAACGGAACCCCAACGGTGGCATTCTCGGGGTTTTGTTTTCTTCCTCATCGCTCTTTTTTCCTCCTTTCTTTTCTCAACTTTCTTTAATCGTCTCCACCATCCCAGAGTCCTTCTCCATAAACCCTCCTCTATCCCCCACTCTGCCTTCTCCATTCCTGCGGGCTGAGTTAGTTTCCTATATTCAGCCGGAGAAGAGAGCAGATTTTGCCTCATCGGGCTGCCTAACAGCCGTGCCCGGACTGACTTCCTGTCCTGCACGATGGGGAGAAAATCGGGAATGTAAAAGGAGAGACTTTATTTTGGCGTCAAATACCAGTTACCTATAATAAGAAACCCAATAAAGGCAGGGGCTTTCTCCTTGGATTTGGCTTTCCTTTCAACTTTCTGGACCAGACCAGAGAGAGAGACAGAACTCCCAGATTTGATTTTGGACGGAGAATGAGATTATGGACTTCTGGCCGGAATTTCTCGCCAGCAGCTGGGGGAAAGAATTCGTCGCCGGCGGGTTCGGAGGCACAGCCGGAATAATCGCTGGGTACCCGCTCGACACCTTGCGCATCCGGCAGCAGCAGACCAATTCAGGGTCCTCCGCTCTCAGCATTCTTCGCCGGGTTCTTGCCACCGATGGCCCTGCCGCCTTCTACAGAGGCATGGCCGCCCCGCTCGCCGCGGTCACCTTCCAGGTTAAACTGATATTCCTCTCTTCTTCCCGATTCCTGTTTTTGCACCATATTTGCCGGTAATTTGGCTGCTTTCCAGTCCCGCCTTTTCCTGGGGTTCGGCATCTCCTTTCTCGCATCTACGATCCTGTATCACTTTCTGAACAAAAAGGGGAGAAAGTAACTGTTCACCTTCTCTATATATCAAAGTTATCATCTTGTTGAGGAATATTCTTCTGGGTTCTTAAATTTCCGGAATTCCAAATTTGATTAAGTTTGTGTGACTGATAGCGAATCAATTAGATTTCCGATTTGACGTTTATGATTATTTTACTCACATTTTCTCACCAACCATTCTCCGCATTTCATTCTACGATTTTGACTGGATAGAATATTTTAATGTTACCTGCAAACCAAGCTGCAATTTCATGCTGATGGAGAATTTGTTGGTTGTTGCAGAACGCCATGGTGTTCCAGACCTACGCCATACTATCACGAGCTTTCGACCCTCCATCGTCACCCAACGAGCCTCCATCGTACAAAGGCGTAGCCCTAGGTGGAGTCGGCACCGGAGCTCTGCAGAGCGTGCTGCTCTCGCCGGTGGAGCTACTCAAAATCCGCCTCCAACTACAAGACACAAGTCATTCAAAACAACCCAATAAGCCAAGCACCTGCAGAGGTCCAATAACCGTGGCCAAGTACATAATCAGAACAGAAGGGGCAAGAGGATTATACAGAGGGTTTACCATAACTGCCCTGAGAGATGCGCCCTCTCATGGGTTCTATTTCTGGACGTATGAGTACATGAGGGAGCAGCTCCACCCGGGTTGCAGGAAGAAAGGTCAGGAGAGCTTGCAGACCATGCTGCTAGCTGGAGGGCTGGCTGGTGTGGCAAGCTGGGTCTGTTGCTACCCGTTGGATGTTGTCAAGACCAGATTGCAAGCACAGACTCCGAGTTCCACTAATCCATACAAAGGGATCATGGATTGCTTGGCGAGGAGTGTGAGGCAGGAAGGTTACAGTGTGCTCTGGAGAGGGCTAGGGACTGCCGTTGCGAGAGCCTTTGTTGTGAATGGAGCTGTCTTTGCTGCTTATGAGACGGCGCTGAGGTGTTTCTTCAGCAATGGGAACATTCAGACTGAGAACACCATCTACAGCACGGATTAGCCTCCCTTTCGTTTGAGAGGATCCTGCATTCCTTCGTATCGGTAATTCAATATCAACCATCAATCATTCTTCAGGCACAATCCATGGAACAATGGAGAAGAGTCACCTGAGAGGAAACTTGAAAGCCTCTACTACCCTATCACTTAATTTCTAGGATTGTTGCAGCATTCAGTACGACATGCGATCTTCTCATCTCAAGAGAATGTACCATGGTTAAACAAAAATCATGGCAAATCAGCAAGAAGCCTTGCAATTAGCTTATTATGCATCTCTGCTGGCTCTGATGTCTTTGGTCCTGCTTAGGAGAAGCCACCATCGGTGGTGCCCTACGTGAAATTCTGATATACAAAGTTTATTTCAATAAAGAAAGGCATGCTGCAGCAACAGATTCCAACCCCCTTTCTTTTTTCCTGTGAATGGCACTGCGATTTGTTTCTTCAGCATCACACATCTGATTGCAAGAGGAAAATCTTTCCACTATAACGATAGAATGTATCCATTCACTACTGTAACTCCGGAAAGTATGACCAACTGGCAAATCAACCTCCAAAACTGAAGGGATAAAATGGACTACGATCATTCATATACCCAAGGAACCAAAATAGGGCAGATGCAGTACAACACGCAAGAGTGCCCTATCACAGAGACCAATAACAGGAAGCTTGCCAGTTTGTTGAAGAATGCCCCACTCTACCCCAAATATAAACAATACATGAACTTCTCTGCGTAACATTGCCAAGTTTCTTTTTCACATTTAAGAAACTCATCCAATTGTTTTCCTGCCAAGGAACTGGAAACCTGGTACCGCATACAGTAGTAACGTAGTGCAGGAAGTTCCAGCTTCCTGCATCCTCTGCAAGAACCCTTAACATTCACAGACTCACATTTTTCACTAGTGTTCTTTGAGCCAGACCCAAGCCTGAGGCCATCAGTAAATGCAGAAAGATAACAAGCTATTTCAGAGGTAAGACAATATTCACTAATCAGTATGGAAATCGGAAATGAGGGGTCCTAGGAAGCATAATGGATGTCAGAACTTCCAAGGGCTTGAGAGACAAGAAAGAAGTCAACATTGGACAATCGAAAACAGAACATGTAGAAAAGGCATAGTGCAGGAGGCAAGTGACTTGCTACCAGCTGATCAATTCCAGAAGCTTTCTCAAAACCCAAAGATCGTTCAAGTAAATAGGAAAATTCAATTCTTCTCCACATCACTGTGGACACCTTAACAAGCTAGTTACAATGTACAGAATGTGTAATGTAGACAGTAGACTCTTTCCAGCGTTCACACATCAAAGGACTTGAGGTGGCAATTGGGAGTCATGAACAATAGTTCGACAAGGGAAATGATTCTTCTGGAATCCGCAACATAATTAACAATCGGGCCCTAGTCCTCACCAACAATTCCAGAAAGCAAATCCAACAACGATTCCTTCATCCCTTGTCAGCAAATCACAGAGCAATTCGAAAAGATCCGGTTTTTTCCTTCTCGATACCAAGTACACTAACAGAAGTTCATTAAAAGCCATTAATATTAGCCACGAATTTAAGAAGTAAGGCTCAGGACACAAATAAGTAAACTGATTAGTACTTTATTATACTACACAAATGTGTTTCCACACAAATACAGCATAGAGAGACAAGTTGTGAAGCATAATGAGCACAACAACAACAGCGAACAGCCGAGGTAAGAAACGATAAGAACAAGTATACCTATATAATAGCCGGGGAAACACAGACGGACATCCTCAACTACAGAGATGAAAATGGCATTACTTGCATTGATGGCAGAAATCACACCTACTCGCTGCCACGCCCAAACTGCTCGATCCTGGGTTCATTAAGATTGAGCTCCGCCATTGAATCTTCAAGTCCTGAGCTACTTTCAACTAAGACCTGAGGATCATTATAATGCCTAACCGCCTGCATAATCCCCCTAACTCGCTTATACGGATCATCACAGTCAAAAACTTCATTCCCAATAAAAACCCCATCACAGCCCAATTGCATCATCAACGCGGCATCAGCAGGGGTCACAATCCCGCCACCAGCAAACAGCACCACGGGCAGCCGTCCCATCTGCTTCGCCTGCACGACCAGATCATAAGGCGCCGCGATCTTCTTAGCAAACGCAAACACCTCATCTTCATCCATGTTGTTCAAGATCCTGATCTCACCCATCACGCTCCTAACATTCCTCACCGTCTCGGCGATGCACCCACGGGCAACTATCTCACCTTGCGTCCTGATCATTGCCGCACCTTCCCTGACCCTCCGCAGAGCCTCGCCCAAATTGCGACAGCCACAGACGAACGGCACCCCGAAGTTATGCTTGTTGATGAAGTGATCCTCGTCGGCTGGGGCAAGCACTTCGCTCTCGTCGATGTAATCGACATCGATGGCTTCCAGTATCTGCGCCTCGACGAAATGGCCAACGCGGACGCGGGCCAGGACGGGGACCGAAACCGCGCGCTTGATCTCCTTTACCAGAGACGGGTCTGGCATCCGCGAAATTCCACCTCCACCCGACGGCGGCTCCGAGACCATTATACAAGACGCGCCGGCTTCCTCGGCGATCTTAGCTTGACGGGCGTCGATGACTTCGAGAATCGCCCCGCCGCGGAGCATCTGAGTCAGGCCAACTTTGATGGAGTAGGGATTCTTCTTGGCGTCGGTGATGACGCTGCCGTTGTAGACGGTAACAGCTCCATTTTCCTCCATCTTTCTATATCTGACTATCTGATGCGTCTATGCTCGGAAGGTGTTTGTGGAATTGTCTGAAAGAGAGGACGACCGGCAAATAACGAGGAGGAGAAGCTGGGAGAGGCCCAAATGTGGAGATTCGGGTTTTTGTCACTGCTGCAACCGGCGAGTAATCTTGAGTTGAAATGGTTTAAATATTGGGGTTTAATTTAATTGTTAGAGATGAACGAGAAATCGAGAAAGTTCGAGGAGTGGGGTAGTCGGTGGCAATTTTGAAACTATGGAAGCTTCGGTGCTTTCGGCCGGCTCCGCTTTTTGGCAGCTAATTCCATGTCGTATTGAACGGGGGAGGACTTCGTTTTGAGTGGCAAACGGCAATCAATGATTGACGGATCTAGCATCTAGTTTACAAAGTCCGTGGGTACTCTTTTGTTCTGCCAGATCTGGTAAGGGTGAATTTGGGTAGCCCATTCTGGCCCACAATACCAACATATAAAATGGATTTTAGCTATAGGGGTGGGACGGATTTGGGTTGGATTCAATCGGGTTGTGGATTAGTCGGGTTTCGGGTTCGTCAAGTTGCAGATTTATCGGGTTCGGGTTCAAACGGGTTGCGGGTTAGTCGGGTTGCGGGTTCATCGTGTTCAGGTTCAATCGGGTTGCGGGCAAATCGAGTTCGGGTTCATTGGGTTTCGGGTCGGGCAGGTTGTGGTCGGATCAGGTTACGGGTTGTTCGGGTCAGCGCATCGAGTAACTTACTTCTTACTCGTTACCAACTTACACATTTTATTACACTAATTTAAAATATTTTTCTCAATTTTAACCAATTTCTTTCTACCTCGTATATATAGTTAATTAAAAAAAACTAGTCAAAATTTTGAATCATTTTGTATGACTTGCAAATTGTTATGTAATTAATCGTAATTGGTAAAGTACTCTAGCAGCTAGACACCATTAATTGTTTATTTGGTATTTTAGTATTATTTTAGTAATAATTGGATTAAAGTATCTCGTTTAGTATAACCATGCAAATCTGGTATTTGGCGTGTGGTATTTGACAAAAGCAGAGTTGTAGAAGGAGTTATTTCGAAATAACTCATTGCCCAAAAAACTTCAGTAAACTGTTGCCCAAAAGAGTTATTTGTAAAATTATTCGAATTACCCTAAAAATTGAACCATTGAAGATTAACTATCAAATTTAGTAAAACTGTTGTGACTTCAATAATAACTTACTCAATAACATATATCCTATACACTTAGCCTTACCCTCAATCGACAATATTAAGTTAGTATATGTTAATGATCGTATGCCCTAAACCATCAATACATTATATACTAACCACACACCCTATGGCCTATACCCTAAACATATATCCTTATGAGTTGTGATTTTACTAGTATAGTTAATTTAAAGTGAAAGTCATACTTTGATTTTCAAAACATAGATAAAAAAAGTGATATTTTCTATACCCTAACCATATATCCTATACTCTACACCATATACCTTGTACCCTAACCACGTATCATAAACATAAATTAAAAAGGGATCTTCTGCCGTTAAAGACTTCAAATGACTTTAGGTGAACATATGTTAATAAAAACTTAGAACCGTCAAAATCATCAATACCTTATACCCTAACCATATACTCCCTAAACTATCTGTACCTTATACCCTATACTCTAACCATATACTTTATACCCTAAACAACGAACCGTCTAAGATTATTTATCAAGTTTAGTATAATTGTTGGCTCATATTCACCCGCCCATAAATTTTCCATTTCAAAGTTCCCACCCAACCCTCCCTCTCATTTTTCATTCCAAACTGACCTGCAACCCGATTAACCAAAATTTTCAAACCCGCACCTTGACTGAGTTATTGCAATCATATGACTTAATAGGCCAAGTTTAACCCCCATTTTGAAATAAAAGTTCAACTCAAACACAACTTAAATGTGCCAAAATTTTACCAAGTGTTAGTAAAATAACAATCATGCAGTGTTGAAGTTACAATAAATGTAGAAGCATAGAACACAAGTAGACAAATTAAGTGAATTTTTCTAAAGCAAATTATTGTTGTAACTAATAGTTAATATAGTTATTAGACCATAAATAATTACACATATATATATTAGCCTTCAAAGCATATAAAAATAAATTTAATTAGTTATGCTCTCCATATAAAAATTAAAGATTCATATTTCAAAGGCTAAAATTTTGAAAACACCAAATTTTTTTCTTTATTCCTTTTCACAAACCAAAATTCTCCTCCTTCATTCTCCTTCCATAAATTAGAAACACTCAATTTTCCCTCTTCTTTCTTTTCCATAAAATTGAAGAACCAAATTTCCCTCTTCTCTCCTTCCTTCCACAAAAAGTTGAAAACTCAAAGTTTCCCTCCTTATTTCTCTTTCATAATCAAAAGAATTAAATTTTTCCACTTCTTTCTCTTTTCACAAATCAAAACCACCAAAATTCCCCCTTATTTATTTTCTAAAAAAATTCAAGAAACCAAATTTTCCTCTTCTTTTTCTCTTTCCAAAAAGTTGAATGCACCAAAATTTTCTTCTTCTTTTAAAAGTATAAAATTACCAAATACATTACTTTACTTTATTTATTTAATTGGTAACTTTATTGAATAGTTAAATTAACCAAAATTTTAATTTATATATTCTATTAATATTTTCCATGATCTCAATTATTAATTCTTCATTGTTAATATTGACATTGTGCTGATTTTATATGTCATATTTACTTTTAAATTTTGTTAAAGAACTTAGTGTTCAAGTGACCTTCATGTTTCAAATTTTTTTAAAATATATAATATCAAGTGAGTTTCATATTTTTTAAATTCCCTATACGAAATGAAAAAATAATTGTACCTAACTTTAGAATGAAAAACTTTATTTTGAAAAACTATGTATTATATAATATAATAAATTTTCAAGTGGAGTAGGTGAAGTTCGGGTTGAGCCGGTCGGGTTATGGGTTAATCGGGTTTGGATCAATCGGGTTCGAGTTAATTGGGTTGCGGGTTTAATCGGGTTCAGGTCAATCGGGTTCGGATGAATCGGGTTGCGGGTCAGTCGGGTTGCGGGTCAATCAGGTTGCAGGTCGGGTGGGTTACGGGTTGTTGATTTTTAGTCAATTCGGGTTGCGGTCGGGTTGTGGGTCGGGTTGATCGGGCGGGTTATTCTGGTCGGGTTCTGTTTTGACACTTATAATTTTAGCCCGTTAGACTATCACGACCCAAAAGTTAAAAGTGTAAAATAATATTTTAGCCCTCTCAAATCTCCTTCAATGAAAGGTTAAAAAGGGCTTAGAGGAATAGGTAAGAGTAATCCACAAAAAATAGATGAAAAATCAAGGGGACTTCATGTGGATACGTCATTGGAAAACAAAACATATGTCTTTGGCTGCAGTGGCGTAGCCAGAAAATTATCATAGTGGGTTGAAAGATAAAAAAAAATACCATACATTACTCATCAAATAGTTTAACTATAAAAAACTAGTCTAATGTTAACCAAAAAGAACATATGTGTATCTCTAAAAAACAAAAACAAAATAGTTGTCTACCTAATTTCACAAAGAACCACGATGAGTTTTCATATTATGAAAATAATCTAAAACATATTCCTTGTCTAAACTCTTTAGTATGTCACTCTCGATGTACCTTGCCAAGCAATCATTCATCCAACTGTCACCCATCTGATTCCGAAGTTTGTTCTTGATGTAGCTCATTGCAGAAAAAGCTCTCTCCACACTTGCAGTTGCAACAGGTAAGATCAAACCTATTTTTACAAGCATATACACCAAAGGATATGACAGATGTTTATTTGTCTTCACCATCTTCTTAAAAAGCTCTGCAATTCCTTTCAGTTCTCTAAAATCTTCATTCGACATCATATGTATCAAGCTGATCATCTGAGCATGAGATGTCCACATCTGAGAAATCTTTAGGATAAAACGTTGCCAGCTTCAACAACATATGCTTCTTAAAAGCAGCAAATGAATTGTCAGGAGTTAAGCAAGCCATACAACACAACAGTTTAGTGTTCACCTCATCAAAACAAATGTCAAGCTCTTGCAACTGCATATGCACAACTGTATAAAAAAAACTGAACTTGGAAATGATGCATATTTGTGATTTGTTGACCATTCCTCCTTGATCTTCCTAGAGGAACATAAGGACCATTCATTAGGGGTGGCCGAACGGTTTTCGGTTATCAGTTAACCACTGGTTACGACCAAACCGATCGGTTTTTGGCTAACCGAAAACCGCTCCTATTTTGCCATCGGTCGGTCTTCGGATGAACACCCTCGGTTTCTCGGGTAGCCGACCATCTTCCCCTTTCATCCAAAACGAGCCCACACCACTAACTCCCTCCCCAAAAACGACCCCAAAATCCCAAAAACGACCCTCTCCCACCCTAACCCTAACCTTCTCCCCATCTCTCCCTCTCGTCTCCCCCAGACAGTCACCCACAGCCAGCCCACCCCCACCCTTACTCGCCCAGCGCAGAGCCGCAAACGACCAGAACCCACCTTCGCCGGCACCGTGACATCACCGCCCACCCATGACTCGTCTCCCCCCGCCCAGCCGTGCGCTTGCCTGGACTCCGCGCCCTCGCATGCAACCTACGACGACGCCCCCTCTGACTCGCCGGCTTCGCAACCTCACCGCCATCCACGAAGTCGCCGGCCGTTGCAGATTTTTCGCCTCCTTTACAGATTTGCCGGCCTTTGATCTCCTGTCATTGTTGGATCTTGTCTCGGCGAGTTCTTAGTCACAAGCTGGAATTGAAGAAAAGGATTGATGGGTTTGAGAAGGAGAATGGAAGAATTGAGAGGAAGAATTAGAAGGAAATGAGGGAGATCAGAGGGGGAAATGAAAAGCACAGAGAAGAAGATAGAAAGGAAAGGGACAAGAGAAACTGAGTTCAATTAGCTCCTCCTAGATCTGGGTTCAATACATGGCCGTTTCAAATTCCCCCAACCGACATCAGCATTCTGGTAATCACTGCTAACCGAACCAAAACCGATAACCGGTCGGTCGGTGGTCGGTTAGCCCTGACTTTCCTCACGGTCCGTGGTCGGCAGCACTAGGGAGTGCTTCGGTTTAACCGATAATCGAGATTTCATTTTCGGTTAAACCAAAACCGACCGACTGCCACCCCTACCATTCATATCACAAATGGGTAGACATTTTTTGCTACAAAAAGACAATAGTTAATTCAGAAGTGGTTCCCATCCTTTATCCTCATGTCTTGCAATCTATTTTTGGTGTTTGAACAAGTGTCATTGTATTTATGATGTCTTGATCTTTCCTTTTCAATGTCAAAGACAACTCATTTGTGATGGCTAGAACTTTAGTCATCATCCTCAAAATGAAAACAAAATTAAAGGTTTGAATGAAAGTCAACATAGCTATTGCTTCACCTTTTGCTTCAGAATTTCCCTCACACCGAATGACATCCAATCCATCAATCACACCAGTGAACATCTAATTCAAATTAACAAGAGTACGACAATGTGCCCCCAACGAGTATCACCTGGTCTCTTAAGCCCAATCTCTTGATTCAAACCTCGACTACTCCCTATTTTACCACGAGTTAAGAACTCGACAACTCTAATAACATGGTTCTCGCGAATAGTCTCTTTGTTTGCAAGATCTGCCAACCAAATTGAGCAAGTTACCAACAATACTAAAGAAACAACTAACATCTCCATGATTTTTAGCAACAGCAACAAGTGTCACCTGAAGTTGATGGGCAAAACAATGGACATAGTATGCAGATGAATTTTCTGTCAAGATTAATGTTTTGAGTCCATTAATCTCCCATTTCATGTTGCTTGCACCATCATAACCTTGTCCCCTTTCTCTTGTCAAGCTTAATCCATGTCTTACGAGCATTGAATCGATCACCATCTTAAGGCTCAAGGCTTTAGTGTCTTGAACATGAGAAATATCAAGAAATCTCTCTACAACACATATTTGCCCATATACATATCGCAATGCAATGGCCATTTTCTCTTTCACCGACACATCATGAGACCCATCCACCAAGATAGCAAAAAAACTATCACCAATATCTTGAATGATTTTCTTGGTTGTTTGAGATGCTATGGCATGAACTATATCTTTTTGTATGTCTGGAGAAGTCATCTGAATATTTTTAGGAGCCTTTCCTAACACAACTCTTTGTACATCTTCTCTACCACGAGCATGAAACTCTAGAGGTTCAAGAAAATTACCTTTATCTCTTGAAGAATCTTATTCATCATGTCCATGAAGTGCCAATCCATTGCGTTTAAGAAATGTGATGCAGTCAACCGAAGCCTCTAGACAATCCTGTAGTCTTTCTTGGCTTTATTCGACTGTTTACATAGGGAAACTTGGATACTTTGTGACTGTTTTATCAGAGCCTCACAATTTTTTGAAGCTATATTGTGTGGACTATTAGGACCACCAACATGAGCATCCAGCGCCTCAATCTTATTCCAGCCATTAAAACCTTCCCAAACAAAAGCATCACTTCCACCCTTGTTTGCTATCTCACTTTTAAATAAGTAACAATGCAAACAGTAAGCAACATCTTTGGAAACATTGTACTCTAGCCACGAGTACCCATCGTACCAAGAAGAACTAAACCTTCATTTCCTTCTAACCAATATCTCTAAAGGGAAACTGCCGTAATTGTGGTTGACATGGTATTTTTTGAAGATAAGCTCTTCTAGTCTCTTCGTTAGCATTAGGGTTGAATGATGTTATTGGTTGTCTTAATCCCGAGTCAGCCTGTAGAGAATTCACATCGAATTTCTTATTCTTGGCTAATGAGGGAGACTGACGTGGTTCTTGACAGAACAATGGAGGTCCAGTATCTTTGGGAACGGTAGAGTTGGATGCTGGAGTAGTATTCACTTTCTTTGCAAAATACTACTCCATAACTTCATTAGAATCTATTCAGTCAACACAATACTAATCAATATATAATTTAGATTTCAATCGATAAAATATGATTTTTACGAATAGATTCTTCTTCGAAATTGGAATAATGGTTGAACATGGAAACAATTAGCAATCACATAAAGTAATAGTACATATAGTTGTGTTTTGATTTTTGAATATGAAGCAATAACAAGTCGCTAGTCGGGGTAGCGCCGCAATGGAGGAGAGGAGACAGAGCTTGAAAACTTCTCTGTGACTCGGGTAGTATCCTTGCAAGAATGTATAAGGCAAGATATCATTACAATGATCACTTCCTCCTAGCCCGCCAGGGAGTCCGCCCCTCATGGGCTTGACAAGGTATTCTGCAGGGGAGAGACCTATTGAGTAAAAATCTATGTTGGCAAGTAGGCTCAGGATCTAGGATAAACACTTTACAAGATCTTGGCTGCCAACAGACCCTTCATCTAGCCCTGTACATCTAATAAACACTTCTCTAGATCATCCAATGGTGTCATTCCTTATGGGCTCTAACTCTATGGCTTTGAATTCAGACTTGCTTAAACCCTTATTTCATCCTGTTATGGTGGAAAAAATCTTATTCATCCCTCTCCTATCTTCCCCTCAAGAAGACAGATTGATTTGGCAGTATGACAAGTCTGATCACTACAGTACCACCTCATTACGTCTAGATTATATTCACCCACTAACGCCTTTCCATATTTTTTCAACACCAAATTCTGGAAATACCTATGGAATATTCCAATACCTCCTAAACTCAAATTCTTCCTTTAGGAGATTGGTACGTGGATTCCTTCCAGTTAAATGATTTCTTTTTATAAGAAAATTATTCCATCAAGTCTCTGCCCTGATTGTTGTGAGGCAAATGAGTACTTCAAACACTGTTTTTTTTATTGTAGAATCACTAGAGAACTGTGGGCATTAACAAACCTCGACTATATAAGAGGATATGATGAAGGCAAGCCCTGTGGACCTTGCGTGGAGAAACATATTTTTCGCTCCCCATATCTCCAAGAATTATGTAGCCTACATAATATTCTTATTCTAGAGAATATGGAAAGGCCGATACAAGGCTACTTATGGACACATTTTATACAAATCACAATTTCTATACAGGCAACTATCAGCGCAGGTGAAGGAATGGAAAACAACAGAGGCATAGAAGGTTTAGAAGTCAGAAGGAGTCCAAATGGCATCACCACACTCTTCCACATGTCGTGGTTCTCATGCACGGAGAACAGATGCAACTTCGCAAATGAAAGTGTTCTAGTATGCTTTGATGAGGATAGAAAAATCTCCCAAGGATGTTCAACTGGCTTCATCGGCTTCTCAAGTGATGGAGTTATTTCATTTGCAGTTGGTAAATTCTATGATGGTATTTCTGATGCCTATACATAAGAATTACTTTCTATTCGTGATGCTATGAGATGGTGCCTCACCCATAATTTTTTTATTGTTGTTTTTTGTGGGGACTATTAAATGGTCATCAAGGATGTGACATCGAGGCATGCTTCTCATTTAAGAGCGGGAGCCATCTTAGAGGAAGTTCACTCTCTCCTTTCCTCATTTTTCTCAGTCTCTTGTTACTTTGCTCCTTGGATATTCAATAGAGCTACCCACCTCGTGGCAAAATATGCCATTTTATCGAAAATTTGGTTGCATATGGACTAGTGTTCTTTGTTAGTGTCTATCTTGTAACTGTGTTGCCCGACCATGCCCTTGGGGTTTATTTTAGATAAAAAGGTTAAAAGGGGACCTTTTAACACAAACGATCACAAATCTTTGCATTTAGTACAAAACGGTCACAAATTAAACAAATGCGACAATTTCATACAAGTTCAAACTTTTGTTACCCTGTTGTTATCAAACTTTTGCTGTCATTTTGTTTTGTACAAAGGTTAAAGGTTTGAAGGATCCATCATTGTTTAATATTCGCTCCAGTTGAGGTATGGTGGCTTTGTTAATTTATGTGGACAATATGACCATAACAAAGGATGACAACGAGCGAATTCAACACCTCACAAACAAATTGCAGGTTGCTTTTCGGTTGAAGGAACTCGACCTACTGTCTTGCTTTCTTGGTATCAAAGTTGGAAGGTCAACATATGACATTCTTATTGGCAAAGCAAGTATATCGACGATATTTTGAAAACAACACGTTTCGATGAGTGTATCCCAGCCAATACACCTATGGAGCTTCATCTCAAACTTGGGAAGGATACTGGGGTACCTTTAGAAGATGGTAGCCACGACAGAAAGTGTAGTTGGTCGTCTCATTACTTGACGAACACACAACCCACCACCTCATATGTCGTTCAAGTGGTTAGTGTCATATATCTGACGAACACACGACCCGACCTGAAAATGGTCACAAACCTTTAATTTGTAACGACTCGGTAACAAACGTTGCACTTAGTACAAAACGCCACAAATTAAACTAAAGTGACCATTTCATTCAAGTTCAAATTTTTTATCATATCGTTACAAATTAAAGGTTTGTGATCATTTTTTTTTAAGTTCACTCGATTGTAGCAATGAAGTCAATCAATGACTGGAAAATTTTAAGATCAATGTTTATACTGCAGTTTTAAAGGGATAAAGGGCAGGTTGTGAGACCGTGATTTGGGATGCTAGTTAGACCTAGCAAATTACAACCCGACCCGTTGACCTGACCCGAACCCGTCCAAAATATAAAAGTTTTTATAACCCGAAACTCGAATGACCTGAAACCCGAATAAACCATGATATTTTTGGTCGGGTTGGGTGGGTTAACGTGTTGACCCGTTAGACCCGTTCAATTTCATATGCCACTCCCAAAATGATAAACACCCATAAATTTGTGAGATGTTTAGAAAAAAATTGACGAGGATTTGAAAGACATTTTTGGAGTTTAAGGATAATCAAATATCATGTGTTTCCTATAGTAGTATTACACTGGTGATTTTTTTTTATGATTTGTGCAATTTGCATTCATTTCATTAGCATAGGAGGATTTGAGAATATGTTAATTGACATGTGTTAGGTAAACTATTGCACTGTATATGTGAAGATTTGTGTTTTTAAAAAAAATATGAAGCATGTTTGATATTGTTTCAAAGAACGCTCATGATCTGAAATGACCTTTAACCTGACTCGAAACTCGATCGATTGGATCAATATTTGATCCAAAATAAGCCAACCCAACATGACCCGATCCGTAACCAGAGGCCCCAACCGGACCCAATTTCTATGTCTAATGCTAGTGGTAGTTTTTGTTTTGCAGTAGTGAAAAGGGTTTAATGGAAGTGGGGGCCAAATATCACATAAGTTTTTGGGGGTGCAATTTGTGATGAAAATACCAAAGAAATATCATTTCTTATTGGGAGAAGTGGAAACACACTATTTGTTTGTGGCGCAGAAACTGGGACATGAAGAGTCTTGTAAACGGCAGGTAGGTGATGTATGTAAATAGATAAAACCGGAAACATCTAAGGCAGACCTATTTGTCTTCATGTGTTACGGGCTGAAACTGTAAAAAGTCAGCCCTCCTCATAGTCACACTTTATGCAATTGGTAAGTGAAACCGAGGAAGAGGTCTAGGAGGCTAGAAACCCAACTTTTCTGATGCCTTTATTGCAAGAGAATCGTAAACTCACTTCCTTACATAAATGAGATCCAAATTTATCTTTGAAGAATCCACCTCATCAGACTGAAGTTTTTGAATTTGTCCAAATGGTCGTTTGGATGAGGTATTCAATGAGAGATTTCACCACAATCCCACATTATGCTACATTTTGACTAAATAACTCGTTTGAGCAAATGAGAGATTTTGAAATTAATGATTTTGAAAACCTGCAATTGAGGGGTTTTGAAAAAGCTGATCACCATAATCTATTTCGAAATCACTCATTGGCTTAATTTTCTTTCAATTTTGTCCCTTATAATTTTATACAAAACAAAAATACCCTCACACATCCAATCTCTGACTATTATCTCTCCCCTGACACCTCCCTCGCCGACTACTTCTTTGCCTTCTTCGTCACCTTCGACGAAAGCGCCCAAGAGTTTGCCACAAATGTGGACCATAACTTTGCCATTGTCATCTACAATATGACCAGGTGGCAAATGAGATGGCTCGACGAGAACATCTCGGCCGCCATCGTCTTCTTCGAGGTTGGAATCAAAATTTGTCAATAACTGCGGCGATCGCGGGAGGCATTATGGATTTGCTCGAGAGGCGTTTGGGATTTGATTGTTTGCAAAATGTGAGAGGGAATTGAGCCCGGCGTCGTCGCTTATCATGCTCTTAATCTCGCTGGAGTATGTGGGGTGGGTTGATAGTCTATGGAGTATGCGTAGTAAGGTAACTAGATGTCTGAGGGAAATTACATGATTAAAGCTTCATTGCGTCACCTTCGCTCCTTCTTTCATCTTGGCGATTGATTTCAGATGTAGTGACGAGATAGAAGCCTCCCTTTGTCAAATCGACAAATCTCAAAGCCCAGTCATCAAATCAAGAAGCCCACTCCGTCCAATCTTGTTGGCTCTCTCTATATCAGGTGCTCAGTCTATTCGATTGACGTTAGAGGCAGTGACGAATTGAAGTTGTCAAACTATACGCAAACTGAAAGAAAAGTTGAACACACACACGATTTACGTGGTTTCCTCAGCTAAAATAGCTGAGACTAGTCCACGGAGAGGGAGTCTCTCGAGTCAGTCTTATTAGGTTATCAGCCAGCAAAATCTCCTATATACAACTCGACCACTCTCTATATATTTATACTAGCCGAGACCAAGCCTTAATACAAAGGACCATAATAGTAATTAACCTTAATGAATGGGTTAATTACTAAATACATATACCAACGTCAACACCCTCCCTCAAATTGATGGTGCTGGCGCAACATCAATTTGTGAGCCAGATACCAATGTCGAGCCTTGGAGACGGCTTTTGTCAGCAAATCAGCAGTCTGATCTTCTGATGTGATGTAGGAAAGAGTAATGAGACCGTCCGCAACCAGCTGTCGAATATAGTGGACATGAACCTCAATGTGTTTAGTGCGATCATGATGTACCGGATTCGTCGCTATCCGGATGGCACTAGTATTGTCTGCAAAAAGACGCATCGGTACTGCACAATCAACACCAAAATCTGCCAGCAGCCTGCGCAACCAGACAAACTCAGACGCGACTTCAGACATGGAACGATACTCAGCCTCTGTTGACGACTTTGAAACCCTCTCCTGCTTCTTGCAGCGCCATGAAACAAAAGAAGGAACGAACTTAATGCACCAGCCGGAAGTGGAACGACGGGTATCAAGGCAGCCAGCATAATCAGCATCAGCATACACTTCAAGAGTAAGAGAGCCAACAGAGGGAAAGAAAAGACCAACATCATGAGTCCCCTTAAGATACCGCAGAATACGGTGAACAGCAGTGAGGTGATGAGTACGCGGGGCCGTCATATATTGACTCACCACCTGAACTGCATAGGAGATGTCAGGTCTTGTGTGAACCAAATATAACAGCCTGCCCACAAGACGGCGATAATGAGAGCCATTAGGGAGCAACTCTCCATCAGTCTGGCGAAGCCGGAGATTCTGCTCCATAGGAGTAGAATTGGGAAGTCATTCATCCATATTAGCCGATTCCAATAGATCAACTATATACTTACGTTGGCCCACTAGTAAGCCCTCTGGACGTCGTTCAACTTCAAGACCAATAAAATATGACAAATCACCCAATTTCTTTAAGTTGAACGTCGTCCGCAGGACCTGAGTAAGTTCATGAATACCTGTCTGATCGTCTCCACTGATCACCATATCATCCACATAAATGAGAAGAACAGTAAGACCCCGTGCAGTGCGCCTCAGAAATAACGATGGATCATTCTCACTTTGAACTAGACCTGCCTGAATAACCGTAGACTGAAACTTCTCAAACCAGGCACGGGGTGCCTGTTTGAGACCATATAACGAATGACGTAGACGACACACCTGAGAAGGATCTCCCTTCGTATAACCTGGTGGACGTTCCATGTAGATGGTTTCCTTCAAATCGCCATGCAGAAATGCATTTTTAACATCCAACTGCAGCAATGGCCAACCTTTTAAAGAAGCAACCGCAAGCAAGCTTCGGATCGTCTGCATTTTCGCCACGAGAGCGAAAGTCTCATCATAATCAATGCTGAATTCCTGTTTGAATCCTTGTGCCACCAACCGCGCCCTATGGCGTTCAATGGAACCATCAGGCAAAAGCTTAAGGGTATAGACCCACTTGTTCCCAATAACCGAATACTCAGGGCGACGTTCCACTAGATCCCAAGTATGAGCACGCTCTAGCGCGTCCTTCTCGTCGTCCATAGCTCGCTCCCAAGGATCAAGTCCCTTAGCTTGTTTATAAGTAGCCGGAACAAAAACTGACTGTGTAGAGTACGCCACGAAATCTGCATGCCGAGCCGGAGGCTGCCCCTTTGTGGCACGAGTGGAACGCCGAGGAGGGGGACCTGGGGGCGGTGAATCAGGTTTGGATGAGGAGGTGGACCCAGCAAAGCACGAAACAGAGGAGGAGTGGAAAGACTCCGAACCGGAGGTGGACGAGGGCGAAGGAGGAGAAGGCGGCCCGTCGTCAAAATCATCCCCAGCATCGATATCCTGGGTCGGAGCTGCTTCTTGGAAAGACGGCAAGGTAAGAAGAAAATCCAAATCATGATCATCTCGTCTCGGTGAGGATCCATAATGAAATAGATGCTCCAAAAACACCACATGACATGAAATGCGAATCCGTTGATTCTCAATATCGTAGCACACATACCCTTTATGCTTCTCGCTGTACCCCACAAATACACACTTAGCTGCTTTAGGAGTGAGCTTGGTACGTTCTCGTGCTGGAAGAAGGACATAGAAAACACAACCAAACACCCGAAGCTACTGCTAGTTAGGAAGCTTCGAATATAAGGCCTGGAATGGACAAGGACTAGGGTGATCTGACGATTGATCAAATAAACCACTGTGTGAACAGCTTCGACCCAGAAACGAGAAGGAACCTGTGAGTGAAACAAAATAGCACGAACTAGTGCAAGAACATGCATGTGTTTGCATTCCATCAGACCATTTTGCTGCGAAACACCTGGACAGGATTGCTGCGCGAGAATACCTAGTTCCCGGAAAAGATCTTGCAATGGGTTCGAGGTAAACTCACCTCCGGGGTCAGAACAAATGATCTTAACCTGCTTACCAAATTGAGTGCGAATCATCTGAAGAAATTCCCGTGCAGCAGATAAAAGATCAGACTTCTTGCGTAAAAAATATACCCAAGTGTACCGTGTAACATGATCCATAAAGAGAGCAAAATACCAGAACCCCAAACGAGACGCGACCGAAGACGGACCCCAGAGATCCGTGTGCACTAGATCAAATGGAGCAGAATACTCAGTAGTACTAGTAGAAAATGAGTGTTGAGCAATCTTAGCCTGTATACACTGCTCACAAACAATACCAGGATCCGAAACAATATGACTAGAAAGCCATTTATTCTTAAACATAGCCGAAAGTCGGGAAGAGTATGGGTGGCCTAAACGTCGATGCCACAGTTCCCAATCCGATAAACCAACAGAATAAGTCAAATAATGAGGAGCAGGAGTACAAGACATGGAAGTGGGAGTTGTACTAAGACTAGAAGAACACTCATCCAAATCACACATAACATCTGTATCCATTACTTCAGCCGCCAAATGACCACCTCCCTTGTCCGCCACTCCGCCATGCACCCCATGCATACTAGCTCCACCCCCTTCAATGCCCCGTGACAAGGTCATGAGCTCAAACACCCGGCCTCGTTTAGTCCCTCTTCCTATCGCCTTCCCCGTTATCGTGTCCTGCACAACACAACCGGAGGAATCAAAAGTGATACGACATCCATTATCGGCCAGTTGTCCCACGAAAAGCAGATTGGGAACCAATTTGGGAACATATAGAGTGTCCTTGAGAAGCATCCCCTTATCACACACCGTCCCGATCCCATCAACAGAAAGGCGTGAACCATCCGCCACCTGTAATGCTACACTAGGACTCGGACGAATATCTCAAAATAACGGACGTGAGCTCGCATATGATTAAAAGCTGCAGAGTCAATATGCCAAGAAGAGGAGGAACCAGAATGCATACCCATAGAGAACGCTGAGGATAAGGCACTAGGAAGAACATCCTTGATAGCATCTTGAACAAACTGGCGAATTTCCGCCGGGGACATGGAAGGATTCGGTGAAGACACCACCTGTTCAGCAGCAAAAGCCGGCGCCGGGAAGGAACCAGTGTTAGAGCGAGCACCACCTGACCGTCCTCCCAAACCACGATTGCGACCACGACGAGCTAAAATCGGACAATCAGCAATCAAATGACCAGATTCCTTGCAATAGTTACAAACATTCTTCTTCTTGCAGTGAAACTGGATATGACCGGGCTCTTTGCAGAAGTGAAAGATGACTACCCCATTCGGTGTGCGTTGAAACTGAGGGCGATTCCCTTGAACAGCAAAAGCATTACCAGGTTTGGAAGAGTGAACATCCAATTGAGCTTGACTCCTCAACCTAGTTTCTTCACGAAAAAGTTCCCCAAGGGTCTCTTCCATAGAGGAGAGATTGCGGTGAAGCAAGGAAGCCCTTATACTCTCATATTCCGGCCGCAACTTCATCAAAAAGGACATGAGGCGAGTACCCTCCCTTTCTTTCAGCATCGCACCCGAGTCAGCAGTCGGAGTCGAGGATGACAGTAGTAGATCATGTTCAGTCCACAGATGAACCGCCGCCTAATAATAAGCTCTGATGTCTTTGTCGCCTTGCTCCAGACGAGCAATGGCAGTCTCGAGCTCAAACTTTCGAGATGCATTAGTTTGAGAATAGATCCTGTTCAGATGCGTCCACATACTATGGGCCGTAGAAAGCCCTCGAAGACTCAAGGCAATTCCGGGATCAACCGACGACAAGATCCAAAATATTACCTGAGCATTATTAGCCTCCCAATCTGCCTTCTCCTTCTCAGCAGTAGTATCAGCTGGCCGCGGCACAGAACCATCCAATATGCCACTTATCCGCCGACCTTGAACATATATACGGAATTGGAATTCCCATAGAGAAAAATTTCGTCCCGTCAAGCGCACAGAAAACCCATCAACCTTGCTATTCAGGGAGCCCATGAGAAATACGAAACGTAGGGGCAACACAAATGATAATAGCCAAATAATAGAAAACCACAGAGAAGCACACCCGAGACCACAAATCACCAACCAAAGGAAGCTATTACCAACCAAAAGGAGCTGTACGAGCACCGCAAGTTAGCCGTCGAAAACCAGTCCAAAAATAAATCCAAACGCTGCGCCAATCTGCCGAACGAGCAGCTCTCACACAAAACCACAATTAAGCCAAGAAATCGCGTGGAGGCTCTGATACCATGTCAAACTATACGCAAACTGAAAGAAAATTTGAACACACACACGATTTACGTGCTTTCCTCAGCTAAAATAGCCGAGACTAGTCCACGGAGAGGGAGTCTCTCGAGTCAGTCTTATTAGGTTATCAGCCAGCAAAATCTCCTATATACAACTCGGCCACTCTCTCTATATTTATACTAGCCGAGACCAAGCCCTAATACAAAGGACCAGAATAGTAATTAACCTTAATGAATGGGTTAATTACTAAATACATATACCAACGTCAACAGAAGTCTGCAATTGCAATTTCTGGATTCTTTATTTGTTGTTGAGGGAGGTCAGAGAGCGCCCAACAACCACCTCAACCCCCATGAAATCATCATCGAGGTCGTTGCTTTCTTGTAACAACACGACCAAGAGTGAGTTGCTAGGATAAGAGATCGAAAAACATAGTACTAGGAAGACTCAGATGAAGAAAGACACAAACTAGAAAAAAGAGGAAGAAGAAGGGGAAACCTGTATTTTTGGGTTCAGATATAAAACCCATTTTATTTCCAAATGAATTAATTGCTATAAATCCTACAAATAAATTCTTTGTGAGTCCAAATATCTCATTATTAAAATCTCTGAGCCAAACTATCCCAAAAGAAAGTTAACATTCATGTTTTTTTTTTCCGAATTACATTTTAAATTTTAAAATCAACTAAAAGTGACACTCGACTTGGGCTTGGCTGCCTCATTGTCATAGTTGTCATGTCTGTTGGTACAATCGGGTTCAACCTGTACTAGTTACAAAACCAACTAAAATGCACGCGGTACCACCATGATTGATTTTCGACTTTTATACAAGACGACGTCGTTTTGGTGAATTTAATTTATTTTTTTATATTTGTTTCTTGAATTTGAAAGTTAAATGTTGATTTTTTTTTTGGATCCAAGTATGAATATTTTGATGTTTTTGTTATTTGTTGGATTTAAATATAAACTTTTTGATGTTTGTACTGAATATATTGTATTAAACATTAAAAATCAGCACCTTTTCACAAAAAAAACATTAAAAAATCATCATTTTTTAGAATGTTGTATTTTATTTAAATATGTATATAGGTTTTAGAAAGATTGTTTTCAAATATGTTATATATATGTCTAAATTTATTTCGTGCTAATAATTTTCTACCTTTCTATATATTTTGCTAAAACCGATATAAACTAAACAGCATCCTCATTGCCATTTGTATATTTTGAATTTTCTTTTTTCTTCCGGCCATACCAACGACTTGTGAAAGTGGTGATTGCTTGCTTTGGAGCTTTAATTTGAATTAAGAGAGAGAGAGAGACTAGAGAGTGGGAGTCATTCCTAGTCAGAGAAAGGGGAAAGCAAGAACGAACGGACGGGAAGAAAGGGATAACATAAGCAGCCGAAGAAACATCCAGCTTCGTTGCTTCAATTGCATTGCTTTGTTGCTAGGAAAATCGAAAGGGATCCAGCTGTAGCAGAGAGAGCAGCGACTTGATTGATAGCGTTCCCTTCAATTTCCAGCAGTCGGTGGACAAAAGAGGTCTGCGCCGGGGATTCAATCTCACACTTCTTTACTCCGCCGGCATTGACTGATCGAGACCCTAATCTACCCGACCCGACCCGTTGAAGGAGGATTTGAGAGAGTGAGCGAAAGAGTTGGAGATACTGGGGCGGATTATGAACGGTATGGGACGGCAGGGACAGAGATCTGGAGCAGGAACGACGGCCACTGTACACCATCAGCGACAGCACTCCGATAACTTCGTGGACACCTCATCCAATGGCCGATGGCTTCAGTCTGCTGGCCTTCAGCACCTTCAGAACTTCTCCTCTAATGGAGCTTCTTCTATTCCTCCCCTTCAGGTTTCCAGATCTCTCTCTCTCTCTCTCTCATCTCCGTCCGTCGTTTTCTTTCCCCTCTTTCCGGTTTATTTGCATTTCACCAACCAGCCGCTTCGTTTGGTTCCTTAGAGAAGTAGGGACGAGAAAGTGTGACGGCGAAAGCGCGTTCTATTATATCCTCTATTGAATCGCCTTTAACTTCGACGAATTTTTGAATTGAGCTTGGTTCTGATAAGAGTCCTCAAACTGCAGATCTAGGTTTCTTTTGTTTAGTAGCTGTTGCTTAATCTGAGCGCAAGAAAATGGAAGAGGTTTTCCCTTTTTTGAACTCCCGAAGCAGTGCTGTTTCTCGCTATCCATATTACTATGTGGTTCTACGTGTTGACGATGCTACATTACGTGTTTCTGGAAGCAGGATTACAATTTCTATGGTGGCGGGGGAGGACTGGGGCAGGGGATGAGGATGTATCGGAATGCACAAAGGGGGTTTAACGGCGGAGCTGAGTTGTATACTGAACCGTCAACACCTCCAGTCAGTTCAAGGCAAACCGGCGAGAGGAAGAGCGGGGAAGAGTCTCCAACTGAGTTCAGTCCTGGGCTGTTGGATCTTCACTCATTTGATACTGAGTTACTTCCTGAGGTGGGTCTTCTGCTTCTTCCATCTAGTTATGTTTGTTCATTGGATTATGGAATGACTTCTGGAGTTCTAATTACTCATCAATAGGGGAATGGTGAACTTCTGTAAAGGATTCATATGGCAGTCAGTCTTGACATCTTGCCACTACTAAGTGTGGGACATACTTCCAATTAGTTTGGCTTGTTTGAAGATTTTCGGGTTGCTTACCATTTTTAAAGTTATATCTGGTGATCATTTGGTGGATATAATATTTATTGTTTTTAGGTGCTGAGCCAAACCCCTTACTTCCATGTTCATCATATGGTTGACCTTCCGAGAAGTACCGTTGCTTCTCTCAAGTGTTATCTCTTTGCAATTTTATCTTTTAAGGGTATGCGTTTAACTGACACATGCAAGGCATACCTTGTTTTTTATAACGATAAATGTTTTTCTTCAGCTTCATAGTTGGTTCCAACTGTAGCAAAGTGGACATCTTATGCACTAACATTTTTTTAGTATTTCAGTTTGGGTTAGAGGTATATGTTGCTACAGTTTGCACTTAATTTGATGTCACATTCCTTCTCAATCTTTTCTTTCTGTTGGTCAGTTGCCAGTTTCCAACATGTACGACGGAGCTTCTCTGTTTCAACCTGGTCGAGGAAGAAGCTTTGATGACACTGAGCCTTATGTTGCAAGCAAGTTGGCTGCCAGAGCTCCTGCTGTACCGGAAAACAATGTCCTGAAAAGTTTTGCAGCAGACAAGGAAAAGACCAGTTCTGTTGCAAAGATAAAAGTGGTGGTGAGCGAGGATGTTGTCTGCATTAAGAGCTTCCCTCTTATTTCTTATAGCTATGATATGTTCTGTCATTCTGTTTCAGAGTTGCATTCCCGTTCAAATTATTTATGATTTGCTGTCTGGGCTACTTGTATGCAAGATATGTGGTGCTCAATTTGGTATGTACTGATCCTATCTGAATACAGGTCCGTAAGAGACCATTGAACAAGAAGGAGCTCGCAAAAAATGAAGAGGATATTATTGACACACACAACAACTCTCTAACAGTCCATGAGACTAAACTCAAGGTAACCTTAACCAATTAAGTTTTCTTCCCCCTTTATCTCAAGGTGAACCATCTCGAAGGAATGCAAGTTAAGGGAATACAAAACGGCTTATTTCCACAGTGTTGATGTTTCAAGTTGGGAATTTCAGTGGATGTAGGAATGGAGGTGGTAAGGTGAACTTTGTCATATTTGAAATAATAGTCGAATTTTGATTATACTGAAGAATGTAGGTATCTAGAAATAGTTGTCGAGAGGTTGAGAAAATTCTGTCATATCAACATGATTAGGAAAGTGTACCATCAATGTCGATATAGTTTGATGCATACTGTGGCTGTTACAGAGACCGGCATAGTCTGTCTTCATGCCTATTGGCTCTTGAATTTAACTGCAAGGAGCATTTGTTAACATATGCAACATATTGAACGACTTTTAATTTGTGATTAAGGCATGTGTGAGAACTTGTTATTTTGCTCACTCCTTTGTGGTTATTAGAATTTCCCAAAGATAATTTCTCTGATCACTAATCTGACAATCTATATTTTATTTCTTGCAGGTTGATCTAACTGAATATGTTGAGAAGCATGAATTTGTCTTTGATGCCGTATTAGACGAGGAGGTCTCAAATGATGAGGTCAGTATGGTGATGGAAATTTTGCTAGTTCACTTTATAGAAATCTTAAGTGTACTTTAATAACAGCAATTATTTGTTTCTCAGGTGTATCATGAGACAGTGGAACCCATTGTCCCGATAATTTTTCAACGCACTAAAGCAACTTGCTTTGCATATGGTCAAACAGGTGAGTTTCTTACATCCAGAGTCTGCATTCACACATCAAATGTAGAAGGGTTTTAGATACATGATCATGTTAAAGCTAAGTAAGCCAAATGGGACTTGATGTGATAATAGCTATAATTTTTGTCAACGGAGTGAACCACTGTTGAGAGAACATGATTTTTTCCGGAATTTCACGCTTCTCTTGCTGTTAAACCTTCTAATCCACATTGTTCGTTGGTGATTGCTGGCTCCACTTGGAATAGCTTACCTATTTAGATTACGTGTATCGTGGATCTTCAGTGTCATAGTTGCTACATACATTGAGCTGACAACTTCTGTTTTCAGGAAGTGGGAAAACTTATACTATGAAGCCATTGCCTCTCAGAGCGTCACGAGATATCTTGAGGTTAATGCAACATACTTACAGAAATCAAGGGTTTCAGCTGTTGTTCAGCTTCTTTGAAATATATGGAGGAAAGCTATACGATCTCCTCAGTGACAGGAAGTGAGTATTTTTCATATTTTTTTAAGAGAACAGGAAGTAAGCAGTGAAGTTTCTTATGCTGTTCCCATTCTAGATATGTTCTGACCATTTGGGTTCTGATTGTGAAGGAAATTGTGCATGCGGGAGGATGGTAAGCAGCAAGTTTGCATTGTGGGTTTGCAAGAGTACAGAGTTTCAGATGTAAAGATGATAGAAGAACTTATTGAGAGAGGAAATGCCACAAGAAGTACTGGCACAACTGGCGCAAATGAGGAATCCTCTCGTTCACATGCCATACTACAGCTTGCTGTAAAGAGGACAGTTGAAGGAAATGAAACAAAGCCACCACGTCTGGTTGGGAAGCTGTCCTTCATAGATCTTGCTGGAAGTGAACGTGGTGCAGATACTACAGATAATGATAAACAGACGAGGTACAACCCTACTCTATGGCTTGTTTAGATACTGTAAGACAATAACTGAAAGGTGCATATAATCTACCCAACACAAACTTGGTTCACTCACTAAGCATATGTGATGCAGTAAAGTCAAAGCATCAAGATTAAAGTTTTCTCGAATATAGCTTTTCTTATGTAAATTTTGAAACAGGACTTGAAATTGGATAGTTACTGCAATATAATAGATATTTCATGCTTTGGGTCAATTGTTCTGCTTCTCATCTTACGAATTGAATGTATAGAATGATCACAAGATAAAGGTTTTGTGGAACTAACTATATTAAATTTTTTGAGACGGTTTTATGTCGATCGATATTGGGTGGTTTAGGTTTTCGGAGAGTTCTATTATGCACATTTGGATCTTTTTCTTTAACGTGGTCAAACATGTTACAGGATGGAGGGTGCAGAGATCAACAAGAGTTTGCTTGCACTAAAGGAGTGTATAAGGGCTCTCGACAATGACAAGAGTCACATTCCTTTTAGAGGCAGTAAATTAACCGAGGTTCTAAGGGACTCCTTTGTTGGCAACTCTCGCACTGTCATGATATCATGCATTTCACCAAGCTCGGGCTCATGTGAGCATACGCTCAACACATTGAGATATGCCGACAGGTGAATATATAATATGCCTCAATGCTCCATATTCAGGCACATCTTCTTGATGTGTCTTTGATTTTCACTAATTGTATTCCATATACTTTCCTTCCAGAGTCAAGAGCCTTTCTAAAGGGAACACTTCCAAGAAAGATGCACTATCTTCAACCTTAAACTTGAAGGAGTCGATTGCTTTGCCCCTGTCATCAGTTTTGCCTGCTGGCTCGCCATTGGATGACGATGTAACCGATGCATGGGCTGAGCAAGATGAAGGAGATGATTTCGAGGATGCAGAGGAGTATGAACTGGAGAAACCAGTGAGGAGAGAGAATGGAAAGCTAGTAGCATCTTACAATCCTCCACCTATCGCAGAGGACAAGTTTCGGAAACCCAATGGTCAGACTAAATTCAGCAATCTACCAAAACCCACCAATATCAAGAAGTCAGAATCAGATGATGATTTAAGCTCCTTGCTAAAGGTAACTTTAAAAAGAGACCACCTGTACTGAAAAAAAGAAAAAGTCTTCAAGCTTAAGCTGATTCATGGAGTTCCCAATTTGTTTTGGGCTTTGTATTATCCTCAGGAAGAGGAAGATCTTGTCAGCGCTCACAGGAAGCAGGTGGAGGATACCATGAAAATTGTTAAAGAGGTATGCCAAATTGGTAAAAGAAAACAAAAAAAGCCATTTCCTCAACACTCCCATGTTCCATGCAGTCCGGAAGCTCTGAAATTACATCATGTTTTCCCCCCTATTATGCAGGAGATGGATCTGTTGGTAGAAGCAGACCAGCCAGGGAATCAACTAGACGATTATATCACTAGGTTGAACGCCATTCTTTCCCAGAAGGCTGCTGGTATACTGCAGCTTCAAAATCGGTTGGCACATTTCCAGAAGCGCTTAAGGGATCACAATGTGTTGGTGTCTTCCTCTGGTTATTAAGGAGAGAGGGACAGAATCTTCGTTAAGAAGATATTCCTATTTTCCAGGTGATCAAGGAATAGATCGAGTTCAAGTTCATCTTGGGCATTTCGGAGATCCTTGTCCTGAGCTCCTGTGTCTCGAATCAACCTATCTTTCGTGGCATCTTAAAATTACTGTTACTACTACTATTACTGGCTTTGGCACCTTTTTTTCTTCATTTGATGATAATTGTTCATGCTATTCTGCCTCCGACGCTAAATGATAATAGAGAGGCCTAGAGCGAGGCATTCAGGAATCTTCTTCCCAGTGCCTCGAATCTGGGCCTAGCATTTCTAAAGTTGTGAAAACGCTGAACTTATGTAACGTGATGATTCTTTAATCGACAAATAGAAACGCCTATTTTCTGCAGCTAAACTTCAGATAATGTATTCACGGGTTAATTGCATGGTTTGTAAGTTGTGATTCTTCAAATTGATGGATTGGGTAAATATCTTGTTTGGAGGTTTAGATTGTGTTTTTGTTCCAAATGTAAAACAGTTAGTATTGAGTGATTGTGAAGAATCTCAACAAAAAGTAGAGATTGTAAATCCCTCAATATTAAGTGATTGTGGTGAGGCCTCCAAAAAGTAAATGCATGTATTCTAGTTCTATATAAATAAAAAAAATGACTTAATCTCACAAATACATGAATTAGATCAATACACCATTTGAAATCCCAACTTCCAAACGACCCCTAAATCCAATCTTGGTCACACAAATTAGTTTAATGGTTCAAGATTGGTCACTCTCCATCCAACTCCGTTAAATTTGTATGATGTGGCAGTCAACTCTCAAAGTTGACCGTTAAGTCAGTGACGTGGCAATTAAAAAATAATAAATAAAATAAATTTTAAATTTTCTACCATTTCCAACTAATTTTCAAAGTAAAGTAAAACAAAGAAAACAAAAAAAATATTATAATTACGAAGTATTCTATTTCTATGAGAAAGAAGAGCAGACCAGGACAAGCTTCTCTTTCCCTGTTTTCTCCACCACCTCTGAATATCAAATCTTACTGCTCACTCGGCCATGGATCACCATCCCGTGGAACGTGACCCAAGTGATCGGCCTATGCTCATCCTCCCGATTACTGACTTAACGAAATTTCAGTCATGGAAGACACACTCCACGACTACCCAATCGTCTCCGACGACGCCGAATTCCCCAGCTGTCTCCGCTCGACGCCGCGACACGCCGCCGAGGAAGTTCGATTCACCGATAAGAAGCACAACGTTGACAACACCGATTTGATTCAATTGGGAGTCTCTCTCTCAAACCAAAAAGACACCGTCGCCGCAATCTTGCAGTTCAACCTGGCGTTCGACCTAGACCGAGACTTGCACGCCAACTAATCCATCCGGTTCTTGAAAGCCCACGACGTCGGTTTCGAGAAGCTGAAGATCAACGGGATCGAGCGGATCCAGTTCGGGGCCGCGTTCGGTGGGCTGATCGGGAGGATGCAGGCCGCTCAATTTGTAATTATAATATTTTTTTGTTTTATTTGTTTTACTTCACTTTGAAAATGAGTTGGAAATGGTAGAATATTAAATTTTATTTTTTTATTTTTTTAATTTCCACGTCACTGACTTAGCGGTCAACTTAGAGGGTTGACTGCCACATCAGATAAATTTAACGGAGTTGGACGGAGAGTGACCAAACTTGAACCATTTAACTAATTTGAGTGACCAAGATTGGATTTAAATATTTTCACTGACCAAACATGAACGTTTTTTGTAGTGTCAATGACCAACCATGCAACTAACCCATGTATTCACACATCAGGTTATTGTCCTTGGATAAGGCCAAAAGGGCCTTTTCCACTTACACGCATAAGGTTAATTCAAAATCTTCAGCTGAAGAAAAGGATTACGTTAGGACCTGATTAGTACCACGCAGTTCGTGAGACTCACGAGTTACGAACGATCTTTGATGGGGGGGGGGGGGGGGGGGGGGGTCGTGTGAACCTTGCAAGAAAGGTTCTCAGAAGAATCTTGGGAGTTGGGACCTCCGATGCGAAGGTTAGTAAGAGAAAGTGATAATGTGTAAAGAAGAGAGAGAGAGTAGTGGTTATAAGTTACCATAAATGCTGCCATTCCAGGGCATGTATACTAATTCTGGTCGAGGTTCGGGCATTTAATGGCTTGTCGAGCGTTCTAGGATACCTATGGGTTTATTAAATGTGTTGCCAGTACGAATCCCTGTCAATCTTCGTACGAAATAGGTCAGAAGGCTGTTGGACCTTTATGTCAGGCGGCCTTGCCAGGCTTACGGTGTCCCACTGTCGGACAGTCACCTAGTGTTGAGTCAAAGACCGCCCCGGGGCTTGTGCTCTCTTATTTAGGTCTAGCCAATTTGTTTTGTGGGTTTTAGTAACCATGGGCCTTAGGGCCCACGTAGCTCAATACTTGGCCCAACATTTGCCCCTTAGGCGTGACTCGTGAGAAGCGTTAGGTTTTCGCGGCTACTTTGGTCCTATCTAGTGTTATTGAGCGATCGTGGGTCGTCTGACCCATGGTTACCCGTCTGCACCTGGCCGCGATGGCTTGGTACGGGAGCGTTTGAGGGGCGGACAGGACGTACCAAGTCCTGCCCCTCGTTTCTTGAGATGCCACATGTCGCGCATCAGGCGCAGAGCCCTGACGGGGCCAGCCAAAACGTCACCTCTGTGATATTTCAAATTTGAAACTTGCTATAAGTGGCGTTGGGAGAAATTTTCTCCGCCATTCTTGCTTCCTCTTTCGAGAAAACATCGTCTTCTACCGCTCTATTTCTTCTGCGTGATTAAGATCTTTTCTCTCGCCGATTGCTATAAAAGCCGATCGTTTCTCAGGTAAGCTTCTACTTCTTTCTGCATTTGCGTTTGTAGCATGCGTTCTTTCTTCTTTTTGACCACTCGCGTTGCTATTTCCTCTTCTCAAATGCTGACATTGCTCGGTGTTTTTAATTTCGTTGACTTCCTTTTGGCGAAAACGGGTTTCACCGGTCCGTTCTGCGTTGTCAGGTGTCGAGCGAAGGTCGAACTCTATCTGCTGACGTGGAGGAACGTGTCTTTGTTACCACGAAAGACATTCCTGTTGCCGACCCTTCTCCAACGGCCACCTCTGACAAGGCCTTGGCGAATCCGGCTGCGCCGTCATCTTCCCATGCCGACGATAAGAAGTCGGTAGCGACCTCTGGTGGCACTGCCCCCATCCCTCAAGCTATGACTTGCTCTACTATCGTTTAAAGCATTTTGGAGCCTGTGTGGGATCTATCAGGGCTAGACTTATACTTTGGGAGCGGTTCTGAATTAGACGATTTTCTTTTCGGGGTCGCTTTAGGCTTGGATAATTCCTCTGCTAACATCTGACCTGTACCAGTTGGGGTTGTGGCCACCTTGTCCGCGGTTGGGGATAATTTGGGTGAGTTTGAGACTATATATTTAGATAACAGGTCATTGGATGGGGACGATGCGGTACGCTCGGAAGCGCTTCCTAGCACCTCGTCCTCTTTAGAGATCTCCGAGTAAGACGATGTGGGACCTCTTCCGTTGGCTATTAAGGATTCTACCTATACCATTCTGCGTCATGAGGGTGTGTGGGGTGGTGAGCCTATTCCTCTTGAAGTTTTTGGCTTTGGGCCTTCATACAATGCAACATTTAAGCCCGAACAGGTACTTTATCGTTTGAGGTCGCTTCACCTGCCTCCAGAATGGTCACGCTTCCCCTTCTCATATAGTTTTACTTATGCTTTCATCTTCCAGGTTTAAAGGAATTGGCCAAAGAAGAAGCAGGTTACGAAGACTGGTAGGACTTGTGGCGGTCCTTCCACGGTACCCTAGGTGAAATCCGGGGTACCACATACCTTGAGTATGAAAACGCTAGCTAGTCCTCAAATTAGCAGAATTTTTGGGCATAATACTATACCCTAACCCTTAATGAATGAAACCTAGGTCCTAATTATCTAAATCATAAACTAAAAATCCTAAGATGGTGCATTGAATTTTTTGCCTATATTTGAAGGAATCATAACCGTCGATTATTGTTTCTAATTAAATTGATCTTGGGGTATAAGATTTTGAGAATTAATACATAGATTTTGATCTTTAAGAGTTATAGTATAGTATCATGTCCGAAAGATCAGTCAATTCAAGTTATGGATAGTGTTTTTTACATAAGGTATGCGGTAGTAGATAAACTATTGATAAATTATTGCCTTATGTGCCTTCTACTTATATATATATTATTTCATTTTAGTTATTATATTGATAAATTATTGCCTTATGTGCCTTCTACTTATAATATTATTGTTTATATGGTACCGCTTTTTTAACGGTTTAGTACTGGTTGGACCACTAAAATGTGAGCCATTCATATTACCGGGTCATGCTTCGGCTCGGTTCTGACAGCATTTGTGATAAGACTAGTTCTCCTCACGCAAAGGTAGTAGATAAACGCGAGAAAGGTGTGAAGCGGTCAGACAAGTCAGACTTTATTGCGTTGCCTCCTCAAGCGGGCTACTGAAGGCGAGGCCGACGAAATTGCGTTTCACACCATCAGCGACCAGCTTGTTGATAACACCAAAATTGGTTTATTTACCCTACATATCGAGGTGTGTTTTGTGCCAATTCAACTGCTTAAATGCTTGAACATTGTCAAATACATCCCTATTGCGTTCCTATTTGATTTCGATGTGATTTTAGGGTGTATTAGTCGATATGTGCGAATTAGGTACAAAACAAGGTCACAAGTGTAGAGAAGGGGCAGGAATTGAAGATCGTGGCCTAGAAGCCAAAGATCATAGCCGGGATCACAAGCTGCGAAGTCCAGCTGAAGATCGCGGCCCAGAAGCCATAGATCGCGATCGCGATCTTGGAGGCTCAGGACGCGAACTTCGCGAGGAAGGTTCCTTGGAGAAATAGAGAGTCTCCACAGTCAAGTCACATCCAACATTCATCTTGCTCGCGGGGAAGATCGCAACCACGACTAGTGGATCGCGACCGCGAAGTCACGATCTTCCCCTTCCCAAAGGCCTCGACCACTGCATTTTGAGATCACGACCAGGTGACCAAAGATCGCCCCCCCCCCCCCCCCCCCCCCCCCCCCCCCCCCCCCCCCCCCGCGCGATCTTCTTACCGCAGGCAACAAACTTTTTCGAATCCAGAATGCCTATAAATACAAGACCCCTTTCCCTTTTTGAGGAGAGTTGATTTTGAGAGAAACTTTCTGGTTCTAGAGAGAGTAAAAAGTGAGAAGATGAAGGAAGGAGAAGAGAAGGAGAAGAAGGAGGAGATAGGTGCAAGGAGGCATCTTCTTCAACTCCAACTCTTCTTCTATTTCTATCATGCATCTTCTTCCCTAATTTATGGAGTGGTCCTCTGATTCCGGCTTAGTTGTACACTTTTTACCCTCGGTTTCCTTAGTCGTTTGAAGCATTTTAATATGGGACGTTTGGTTTTACACTTAGTTTTGTCTCATTTTTTTGCACTTCACTCTATAGCAGGTGGAACCAACCCCGGAGTTGAAATTTGGACGAAAAGCCCAAAAATCGGGTCAAAGGATGGAGGCAGTAACAGATCACGGTGGAAGTAGTGAGTTCACGATCAGGGAGACTGTGAACTGGAGCCGCAAACCGTGAACCGCCAGGCGTCCAGAGCCATTTTGGTTCTCACAAGACTCAAGTAAGTTCACGTTCGTAAGACCATAATCCCAAGCCACAAACTGTGAACTGAGTTAGTGATGCGACGCGTTTTGGCCGAGATCACAGTCCCCGCCTTGAGTTCACGGCCGTGAACTGGAACGTGATTTGAGCCCGACCTGGGTATAAAAGGAGGCTTGAGCTGAAGGAGAAAGGGGAGGAGACCTTGAGTGAGAAAACATTCTTCTTCAACATTCTAGAGAGAGAAAGTGACGAGCAAGAAGAGAGAAGACGCTAGGGATTCACTCCAAAACAAGGATTTGGGAAAATCTTCCCCGAAGGAAGATCTCTTCTACACAAGGAAGGATTCAAGCATCTCCATGATGGTTTTTTTCTTTCTCCTTGTGTTTTTACCTCTCCTAGCATGAAGTAGTTTTACTTTTCACTTGGGTGTTTGTGAACCCTAACTTCTACCATGTGATTGATTGTATGGAATAATTGTCTATGCATGGGTGTGTTTTAATACGAATTTGGAGGTATTTTCATGGAAGATTGTGTTGTGTGTTTTCCTATCAATCTATTTGCCATTCTAACCTAGGGAGAGATAAAACCCCCTTTTGTTAAAGAGGCTTGTAAAGCTGGGTTTTCTTAGGCAAATCATGTCTCCTATCTAGGTTAATGTAGGGCATCTTTCCTTGTTTGTGTTGGCACCTAGGTTGATTGTGTTTTGGCCGTCCGAATTCTGATTCGAGAGTGAAGGTTTGGTAGTCCTTAGTCGATTAGGACAAGAGAGCTACCTTGGCAGCTTAATCCGAATTCCTTGGCCTAGGGATCGAGAGAGTGATGTTCCATCACTAGCTACACTTCACTTACGGTTCTCAATCACCTTTACCATACATTTTCAGTTATTCCGACATGTCATGGTAGCGAGTTAGGGGGAGGTACACCCGGGTGAATACTTCTCATTTAAGAGTCAAAATCAATTACTTTTACAACCGCTTTAACCGTAGATCGTAGTTTTCAATC